GCAACAGTCTGTTGCTTTCTATTCTGAACAAAGCAGTATTTCTACCAGTTAAATCTGTGAGCAATAATGTTTTCATGGAGGACAGTTTCAGACATCTTTGTGSTAGTMTTCCTGGATTCTGGAAAAGGGCCAGCTTGGCAAACAGGAAGAACAAAAGGAGACTACTGAAAATATCTAGTCTGGGGCAAGYCTTACTGTCACCACACAGCAGGTTTGGACAGCAGCAAAATTAGACAGACAACTCTGCCCAGTTCTCTTCATATTTTAGAGTGCCTGATGTGTCTGATGTTGAGAATAATGTTGAGAATTTTGGCATTTAGAAAGGCTGAAATGTCTCTTGCATTCTGAAAAGTGTTGTTCTYGTTCCAGGACTCTTATTCGTACAGATTCACCGCTTCTGTTTTGATGATTCCACAGTACTTTATAAAAGCTTATTTGGGGTCATATGTGTAATTGGTAGTTCTGTCAGTTTAATAGAGAATCAGGAAAATCAGTTAACGTACGCATGAGTGCGCAGTAAATCAGAATCTATAAACAGTTGGATTGTTTATGAATAGAAGGCAATGCTAGGAATCTGGGTGAAACCAGATTCTACCTGGAAAAGAAATCAAATCCAGACACAAATCCTAATGAGCAAAGATGCCATAAATTATTATAAAACGTTGCTACATCCTGTCTGTAAAAACAGTGAGATGGGATTTGTCTTGTGACTGGAAAAACTAATGGACTTCAATTAAAGTGTAGCAGTTTAGTGAATGACTCATTCAATTTCAAATGTGGGCTGATAAAATTGTATCGAGTGTTTAGTCTGCCCTTTTGAATGGGTTTTGAARCACTGGCTGATATGTAGCRGTGCAGATTATTCAGTTCCCAGTCMCTGGGATGTGTGTACCTCTTTGCAAAAGCATCCCRTCCTTCGTACTTCAGTAGGATATTACAGGACAGTGCACTTCTTGCATCCTTTTGTGCTGGCTGCATTTTTTGCTGTTGGTATTTTAGAGATGGAAGATGTTGCAGAGCTTGAAGAGTCGCTGTAGGTGCTTGTGCTGATGACAGACAAGCTTAACTGTAAGTCTGCTAAAGTGAACAGTAATATTTTCTTCCCCTAGATTGGCCCACTGACATGCAGAGTGTGCCTTCATCTGCGAGGTGATAAAACTGTCATGGTTTACCAAAACYGAATTTTCTAAGCTTGGAATCTCTTATTCTTAAAAAGGGACTATGTCAGATATATCAGATGATAGCTAATTTCTRTAAGAAAACAGATTGTACAAATTAGCATTCATATGGTAAAAGTATCTGGAACCAAGTTGGAATCTGTATTATGGAAGGTATGTTGTTTATCTTCCTGCTCTCTTCCCTCATGTATGTTTATTCTTTTGAATGGAATCTCAAAACTTGAGGTTGTTTTGCACAAGTCCAGGTGTCCCAAAGCTTTTGACAAGGGAAAAAMGTTTAAGATGCTTTAGGAAGGTCAGGGATTGCAGGTGTGATGAAATGTTCATTTGAAGTGTTTGCMTGTCCCCTTAGTTTGATTTAAATAACATTTCTCTAGAATTCCCTTAAAATTACAGTCCTTTTACTGTCGAAGAACATAATTGATTCTATTTAKTCCAGGCAGCCTTCCAGATTTGAAAGTGTACACAGAAACACAAGCTGCCAGCTATACTTCAAAACTGTTTCTGTTTACATTCTTGCTTTCCAAATCCAAACCCTGGAGGCGTGCTTACATGTGCAAGCGAAATGAATGTGCACACAGTGTCACTGCATGCATCATTCCAGCACGTGCCCATATCCCAGCTTAAAACAAAAGCTGCTGTCTTGGTGCAGTTGCTCTAAAAATTGTAGATTTTGGGATGTCATGTTTGAACCCGTTTGAAACTTTTTAAAGAAAAGGGGTTGAGTTGTCATTTAACATTTGTRTTCCTAAAGGAAGCCAAGGCTGATGTTTATTTTGAAGAGATGCTTGGCTAAAAGGATTTACGTTTTTGATGTGTGTGTATCCCTCACTCCTGCCTGTGTTTCTTTGCTGGCAGTTGCAGGTGGGGAGGGAGGAAAGCTCGCAGTGTCACCAGGCTCCATCCTCACTGCTGCAGCCAGGCAGCCCTCAGTGTAAACCTTCATTAGGCTGACTCCATGGGCTTCTCATGAAAGGAGCTGAAGMAACAGAAGGCAGCACAAGAAAGGGAAAGTGAGTTGTTCTCTGCCTCTTCCATCCATCTGACCCTGTAACCAGCCGGCTTAGGGAGCCCCGGTGCCASCAGGGTGGGGAGTGAGTACACACGCCTTGGGCAGGGTAGAATTTGGCTCTTACAGTTCAGAGGAGCCTCAGCAGGATTGTGGAACTGAAATTAAACGGCTGCTGGTATAAAYTCAAGTCTGTGCTGTGAATATTTAATTTGGTTGTGGTCCATCTATGCTGTCATTGTGTGTGTGTGGACAGGAAGGCTCATATGACTGCATATTCTTGTTTGTTTGGGGCCTTTGTGCTGGGTTTATGCCGTARCAGTGATGTGCTTCTGCCTGTGTTTGCAGTTAAGAAATGTAAATAGGCATGTGATTCAGTGATACGGAGATGGAGTCTTGTTCATATTTTGCCTGATCTAAAAGATGCCATTTATCTTGTGTATTTCTTTTTATCGTAAGCTGAGGATAGTTATCAGTGACTGGGAGCCCTCCAAGTTACTCTAAATGGTGTTATTTGGGTTCACTGGTAAKGTTTTGTAATTGGTAAGCTTCCCAAGCTTGTCTCTTTAAACACACTGAGTGTGCTGAGAACTTTCCATTTCAGCATCCGCTCACTGAGGCTATTACAATGATGAGGGAAATAAAACAGCTTGTTTAAGCTCTTTCTTAAAAAGTAGTCAGTTGCAAAGCCTTTCTAAATATGCATGAGGTGTTAGTGGAAAAGCATTTTTATAAATCTGCRGTGGCACTTCAGTACTTATGTGGATATTTTTAAAAGCCCAAACCACAACTAYAAAGGAGGGATTAAAAAAGACAACCCTATTGCTGCTCACAGTTGCTTAGGAAGTAGTGGATTTGGGAAAACATCATTTTCATTCTAATGTTTCCTTGTAAGAACTGAAGTGTGGCAAGAGCAGGTACTGGATGTACTTGGAAGAAAACTTTTCAGAAAAGAAACACTAGTGCATAAGGGAGGATGATTTTWATTTTTTACTTATATATGAAATGTTGCGTATGAATTTTTATATGCATAATTTAATTCATATATACAGAAATACATTTTTATATAAATACGTATCTTTAAAATTTGCTGAGCAAACAGCAAGCATAGCATCCTTTGCTTTTCCACAGTGAGAGCTTTCAGAAAATGGATTGAACAGAAGAGATGTGAAACTGTTGGTTTGTGGGTTTCCCTTCCTTTCTGTTATTAAGGAAACTGAGATGCAGGGGAAGTCCTAAGARGGTTTGTGGCTGTAGTGATAGGCCAAGGAGTAATGGGTACAAACTCAATGAAGGTAAATTTAGATAGATATTGGGAAGAAATTCGGAAGAAATTCTTGACCCTGAGGATAGTGAGGCCCTGGCACAGGTTGCCCAGAGCATCTGTGGCTGCCCCATCCCTGGAAGTGTCCAAGGCCAGGTTGGACAGGGCTTGGAGTGACCTGGCATAGTGTGAAAGGTGTCCCTGTCCATGACAGGGGGGTTGGAATGAGGTGGTCTTTAATGTCCCTTACACCCCTTAACATTTCATGATTTTATGATGGATCTCTCTAAAATTAATTAATGCAAAGATAAGCAACTGTGTTTCATTATAAAAAAAATCCAGAATACTGGATGAAAGTATCMGGCTTCAGAACAAAGAAGAGCAAATATTTTGCATCATGAAGTGTTCTTTGCWTTTGTCACAGGATGCCAACAGTTTGTGTGTGAAAACATTCTGACCAAACTCAGTTCTCGATGGATTTCTTTTGCAAATACAGAAATATTGCCTCGGGTTAAGGAAATTAAAAATGTGTAGGGATTAGGAGTGTTTATTGGTCAAGTATCATAGTGTGCCTGCCTGGTAGTTCTGCTCTTTTTGGCATCTCCCCTTACCCACTGGGCTGTAAAAGATCTCTGCTGTGTCCAGATTCTGGTTTCTCATACTSTGTCTCATTCTCATTTTCTCTCTTTCTCATTCTCATTTCCTCTGCTCTAAGATGGCACGAGCACCACAGATAGACGGTCACACGTGTTCCCCTCCTTTCCCTTGRCTTGGCAAAGACATTCATGCAGCTGCCAAAGGGAACTGGAACAGGGCATTAGCACTAAATAAAACAAGCCCAGCTACAAAGTGTTAGTGGGGCTCAATTCTTCTGTCTCATTCATGAAAAAAAGGGTTCGTTGTTGGTGTAAGTAGCTTATACTGATCTGAAATAGCCACAGCCAAGTTTTATGTGAACATGGAKTCTTAAAATTAAGTTTAGAGCTTCTGGTAAATATTTATAACTCTTACGTTAGTGTTGTTTGAATACTTTAGAGCTTTGAGATGAGAAAAAAAGTTTCAAAAATTTGGAAGCGTTGGTTTAGCTAAACTTAAAAKCCCTGGTGGTTTGTACCATCTAAATCATAATAAGAGCTTCTCTTTCCAAATAAAAAACGTGAAGAACTGAGTTTGAGATTTGTTTAAAAATTCTGTGATAATTTGAATATTAGATATTTTCATCCCTCTTGCTATTGAAGTGTTCTACTCATGAATTATGAAGTTCATGATTAGGTAAMAAAAATCCTCTGCTYTTAAGACCATATGTATATTASCATTTTTTCTAAGCAAATATGATTCTGTTATCATCTTTTTTGTTTTTGTAGATATTTAGATTGAAATGCAGGTTCTTAGGCATCACTTTTATCAAGTCTTATTTATTAATGTAAAATAACAGCCATGAGTATTAATGTTCATCTAAAATTAGTTTGAATAGCATTATCTGAAATTCCTGGAGATGTTATATTTTCAATTCTGATTTTTTAATTAAAATTCTGATTTTTTTCCTCAGGTCTGCACGTACGAAACCCTGCTTGAAAATCTTGAAGTACAAAGCTATCCCAAGACATCAAAATGCCTCCGCGGCCATCATCCGGTGAACTATGGGGCATCCACTTGATGCCCCCCAGGATCCTGGTGGAATGTCTCCTCCCAAATGGAATGATAGTGACTCTAGAATGCCTCCGTGAGGCCACCTTACTGACTATTAAACATGAACTCTTCAAAGAAGCAAGGAAGTACCCTCTCTATCAGCTCCTTCAAGATGAATCTTCTTACATTTTTGTAAGYGTTACACAAGAAGCAGAAAGAGAAGAATTTTTTGATGAAACACGGAGACTTTGTGATCTGCGACTGTTTCAGCCTTTCCTAAAAGTTATTGAACCAGTAGGTAACAGAGAAGAAAAGATACTTAATAGAGAAATAGGTAAGATTATCTTTTCTTTTAAGCAATTTATTTGTTTAACTGATTATCCTTTTCGAAGTACAAGGAATTGAAATGGGTTGTGTTTGTCAGATGTATCTGTCAAATTTGCATTTCTTAGCTTTCAGTTGTTGCATCAAATTCCAAAGTTACTTAGAAAGTAGAATTTCAGAAATTAGTTTTTTTCACTCTTCCCCTTCTGACCAAAGAGCATAGGGAGAGGAGGGAAAAAAACACCTGAGGTTGGAGATGCAGAGGGGAAACAAATTGTGATGTTTTGAATTATCGCTGGAGTAGTTTATCATTTTTCATGATCTATTGAGGAAGCACAGGGAATCTGGCATTTGTCCAACATCCTGGTTAAGTATTAAATTCAGGCAGTACAAACATACACACTCCTGTTTCGCTGCTAATGGATGCGTACTGCAGTGGCAGAGATTTGTCAACTGGAAATACATGTTCTGAGGTACTCCTAATCATTAAATTGTTTAATTGTGGTGAATGCATCATAACTAAATTACTTCTGTTTTGTAAAGCTGAACCTSTTCAGGACTTGGGGAGAGCAGTGTTTAGGTAACCATGCAACACCACAATTGAAATTTTCCGTTTGAACACTCATGCATAAAKGATGATTTATCCAGGTAATCTCATTAAAGTAAATGGAATTACATCCGAGACTGAAGACCTGAAAGAAATTGACTGTTATTACATGAATCTGTGTCAAAGAGCTTAAGTTCAGTATCTCTTGGAGTGCTTGGTGTAGTTCTTAAATAATGTAGGTCATTAAAAAAAAATAGCTGTCATTCAGTTGTAAGCAAAGTTGATTATGGTCCTAATAGCTACCACTAATCCTGCCAGGGTTTGAGAAAAAATCAGATTTCACAGCTCTTCTGGTCCCTTTAGGAAACTGTGCTGGCTTCAAAGGAAGTTTAGTCCTGGTGCTTTTTCTCCGGGAGGAATGTTGGCTGTGAGAGTGGTGATTTAGGGCTTCCAGGATCTTCAGGGAATGTACACCTGTTTTCTAACCTTTTCTGTGTCTGCTGAGTGCTCTTAACTTTAGATCTGTGTTGTTCTTGAATACTGTAAAATAAATGTGTATACAAGTAGAAGCTGGCAAATATTTTAGGCTGTGTTTTCCTTAAAGCCGGCTTTTTTTTGTGACTGATTGAAGAAATCTGTAGCTCTAGTCATCAGTTACAGTTATTTCCTCATRCTGTTCCAATGCTGTAGGTTTCGCTATTGGCATGCCTGTCTGTGAGTTTGACATGGTCAAGGATCCAGAAGTRCAAGACTTCAGAAGAAACATTCTTAACGTCTGTAAAGAGGCCGTGGATCTTCGGGATGCCAATGCACCGCACAGCAGAGCACTGTATGTCTATCCTCCAAAYGTAGAGTCCTCAGCCGAACTCCCCAAACATATATACAACAAACTAGACAAAGGTAAGGCCAATATTTACAGCAGAAACATATTTTCAGTGYTGGAAATCAAAGAGTGCAGTGGTGGCTTAGGCAAATCACTGTTTTATGTGCTGTATTTAGTACACKCTAGCAATATTCAGAGTAATTTTCTTGATGGAATGTACATTCAAAAGGGTGTTTTAAATTGCACTATTCTAATTGAATCTTGAAATATAACTCAGTAAATAGAGGTGACATTTTTAATGGGTGGGAACAGCTTGTTGGCTTTGCAGTTTTCTATGGTGTTCAGATATCTGGAATTAAATAATGCTGAATCACTGAAGGCCAAATAGTCAGTAGTATTCAATTAATAAAAATGGTCTTAACCTCAGGGCTAAAAGTTTGAATTTACACTAGAGTCAGAAATAAACTTAATGCATCTGGGTTCTTGTAGAGGTTATAAATCCTCTCTCAGTTTGGACTATGAATCTTGTTTACATCTTCTTTTAATACTAAAAGAAAATCTCTGTGTTGGGGAGCTGTGGGAGTTGTTTGGTTTGAGGGTTATTTTGGATTTGGGCTTTTTGTTTGGAAACTGCATTGAAAATGATAGCCCTAACATTATTTTACATTTCTTCCAGGGCAAATTATAGTGGTGATCTGGGTGATAGTCTCACCAAACAATGATAAGCAGAAATACACCTTAAAAATCAATCATGACTGTGTGCCTGAGCAAGTTATTGCTGAAGCAATTAGGAAGAAAACTCGAAGTATGTTGCTGTCTTCTGAACAACTGAAACTTTGTGTCTTGGAGTACCAGGGCAAATATATTTTAAAAGTCTGCGGCTGTGATGAATACTTGCTAGAAAAATGTCCACTGAGCCAGTATAAGGTGAGTAACATAATGGAATCCAAATTTGTGGGGGACAAAAACAATTAATATTAGGTCTGGCTTTTTCATTGAATTTATSCAAAACATAGGAAGTGACAGTGCATGCACATTTAAAAAGGAGAAAGCGGGGAGAAAGGATAGTTTAAACTAAAAATTGTGTCACTAGTGTAATTTTTCTTCTTTGAATGTTTCCCTCTAATGTTAGTGCTAAATCTGAGATAGGTACTTTCAGAAATATCCTGAATTTCTGATGGCAAGAGATGAGCTATATTTGAATGGTGCTGATATAATAAAACAGAAAATTAGATCACATTGTAAATTATGAAATAACCATTGGTACTGTAAATCTTGTCCTAAAGGGGTGGTAAAAGAGAACTCTTTTTTTCCCATTACATCTTTATCACTCCTTCAATGACATAAAATGCAAACTTCTAGCACTACAGAAATCATTGCTAAGCCTTCCTTGTGTCTGTCTGTCCTTTCACTGCCTGGGTTTGTCTGGGCTGGTAGTGTGAGACAGAATATGGGACAGAAGAGCATCTGAGCAGCCCTCTGTGGAGCAGACAACCATGTTACCCTGTAGATTTCCTGAGAGGCTGCTGCTGCTGCTTCCTCTTGGAGAAATGTGTTGTTGTAATACACTGCTCCCATTCCTTCAGCTAAAATGGTTGACATTCTGATCTTCAGAGCAGTGGAGGAGAGAAGGAGGGTGGGGGATCCTGAATAATGGGAAAAGTATCTCTGTACTCTGGGAGCTGGGGAACAAGTGCAGGCATACATGAATAATTCTGCAGAGTCATCTGAAGATCAAACACCAGACCTATTTGATCTAGCGTGGTTTCTTCAGAAGCATCTGCTCTGCCTTTGCTKTGYCCCAGCAGAGCTTGCTCATTAGCTCCAGGGCTGGACCTGTCCTAACACACTGTGTTTTGTGCTAGTGTAGCCAGACTAAATGCTCTCAGCTCCCAGACCTGAATGGACAGGTGAAGTGTGTCAGGATCAGTGYTGRGTGTAAGGTAATGAGCACAGCTGAACCAAAAATGAGTGTGTCTGCTGCTTACCTGTGCTCCCTGCCTGGGACTGGCAGTCACCTGGGCTGCTGCAGCCCTTGCTGTTCCAAAACAGCTCAATTGCTTCCAGGAACAGCTCAAATCCATCTGCTTTGTGCAGTGCTGTGCCGGGGCTAAGGAGCTCTACAAGCAACCCAGCTGTTTTTTTTATCAGCTCCCTTCTGTCTCTCCAGTTCATCCGTTGTTGTAGGTGTTCACATCCCAAAATGTGTACGGAGTGTGGCTGTGTGCCCCTACCCAACAATGTGTTCAAACTGCTGGATGCTGTAGCTGTAAACACCRTACAGGGTGTGCATGCAGGACATAACCTCTTCCAATGCCCTTTGACTTCTTTGTTTTCCTGAATATCTTGGGGTTTTTACATTACTCAGAGGGTAGGCTTTGCAAAGACCCAGCGCTTTGTTCAATCAATACASGTCTTGGTAAAATGTCTCTTTGTCAAAAAAACTTTTTCCATGCAGTACATAAGGAGCTGTATCATGCTCGGCCGCATGCCCAACCTGATGCTGATGGCCAAGGAGAGCCTGTACACCCAGCTGCCCCTGGACACCTTCACCATGCCATCCTACTCCAGGCGCATCTCCACAGCCACGCCCTACATGAACGGAGAGGCTACAACCAAATCCCTCTGGACTATCAACAGTGCTCTCAGGATAAGGATCCTCTGTGCAACCTATGTAAATGTGAACATTAGGGACATAGACAAGGTATGGCACTAGCTGTGTGGCATCACATGTGGCTTTTCAGCAGTTTCCCTCCTCAGTGTTTGTCCTGTGTTGACACTGGAAAGGAATTGTTATTTAACATGTTAGAAAATGATACCACTTTTTAACTTCAGTTGAAGTATTTCATTCTAAAGAATGGACCAATGTTTTAGCATCTGGAAACTTCTGTGTACTGCTTAGAAAGTGTGAATTTGGGGTAGTCAGCTAAATATTCTGCCTGGTAGGAGCAGGACTCTGCATAGCTCTTTGGCAGAGTATGTAATAGAAAAAGCCCATGTTGTTATCTGTGTTCTAAGTAATTATGTTTAAGAATGTATGACAGTAATTGAGAGTGCTCTTGATGGGGGGTGCTGGATACTATGCTGCTGTCTTTGTTTATAAAAATAAAGGTGTGGGGTGATAGGAGACAAAAGGCAGGTGTGGGGCTTAATCTCCCTGGAGACAGCCACAACTCTGGCTCTCTTTTTCTTTGGAATTTCTTTCACAATGCCTTGGCACAGGAAGAATTGAGAACAAATCCCAGGGGTTTTTTTTTTAGTGTTCATTTCARATTTGTTACGGTGTTTTTTAAGACCTAGTTTCACAATGAATGATAAATAACATAACAGATTTTCCAGAATGATATACTCATATACTGTGCTTCCCACCTGACAGAGGATGGATTAATTTGGGCTGGGAAGTGGTGGGGCTGTTTGGTTTTCAGTCTTTTGTTTTTCTCTTGCTGAAAATGAAAGGATAATGTGTTCTAATCACAGTATCTATTGATTGCAATGAAAAAATCGTTTACAGTAACATTTCAAAGACTAATATGGATGTTGTTTTCAGATCTATGTTAGAACAGGTATCTACCATGGAGGGGAGCCTTTGTGTGACAATGTGAATACTCAGAGGGTACCTTGTTCCAATCCCAGGTAAGATGGAATTCCTGAGTKACTGTAGAGAGCCTGACTTCCAGGGCATCATAAATGATAGCACTGGAGAAGTAAAGGCTCGATTTAGCCATTACTCAGGTAGAGCTCCATGCTGGGAATCCTTTACCTTAAGTTTTGTGAAAATATAGAGCATAACCCATATATATATAATTCAAACACAAGCATTTTGTCTTGCACATAATAGTATAGTTTCTTTACTGAACAGATCTATTCTACATGTGCATTTACATTGCTGAAACACCAATATATTTCATATATATAAAATAGAATTCATCATTCACACATTAATGCTGGGCTTTAGGCAACTGGGCTCTGATTTTGGCTGGGTCAACAGCAGATGTTGTAGTGCAGGTCCAGATTTCACTTTCAGCATGAGGCAGTGTGTTGCTCTGAAATCTGCAGGTTGGTTTTGGTGGGGTTCCTTCTGAAGGAGAACCACTRAATGTGGAGAGAGGGTTTCACCTGCTGACGTGGAAGTGACTGCCAGATCTGGGCTGATTATTTTCAGGATGTTTACAAACCATCAGTATTACCTGGAAAAATAAATCACCTGAACTTACATGCAGAAAAAGAAGTTTTATATGAGCGTATATAAACATTGGGGACATACTTTAGCCACCTGTTCTCRTAACTAGCTAATGAAAAAGTGTGAAATTTCAGCACCTGCTAGGATTAGATGCAAAGTATGTGTGCAGAAGTAATTCTTTGCTTGCACTTTCTGACTTCATGTCTTTAATAATAATTTCTTAAACTCTTATTTTTATCTGTACATTTTCTATGACTATGATTAAGTTTTATAATTAAAGAACTGATAATATACATAGTTGGTGAAAAATAGGCTCTCCTTCTGAGTTGCCCCGAATACAGCTGTACTTAAACTGATAGTTTAAACTATTTTAGAGAGAAAATCTTGGAAAGGTGGTGAAGATTATGCTTTGAAATCATGGATATGGTCACACAGATCTGTATTATATGAAATGAACACGTAAGAGAAGTGAATKAAAGTTTATCTGCCAATTTCTTTATTCTTAGAGAAGGGCTTTCACAGTTATTTCCTTGTAAAATTGCTTTCAGTAGCTATGGATACACTGAAAAATTAATGTTGTCCTTRGAAGCTTCTACCTCTTTCAACTGAGAAAATTCTGCATGACAATCCACTTAGGAAAACTGGATTCAGAAATTCCTCTTCAAAAGCACAATTCCACCAACTGGGAGCTAAATTCTTCTTAGAGAAGTTCATAGAAACAAAATCAATCTGTGCTCTTATTACTCTAGTAAATAGAGAAATATTTGAGTTAACAATGTTGCTTTGGATTTCCATGTTCTATTCCCATCTTGCAGATATCTTTTTATGTTCCAGCAGTTCAAGTTTAGTTTGGTTTTGAAAGCTCTTTCTCAGTTGCTTTTTTCCCCTGAAGGGAAAACGGTTTCACAAGCTAAGCCTCACATCAGTGTAGCGTCTATGCAAATCCATTATCTTCAGATGACAGGAATTAAACCTTATGTTTTAAACAATATTGGGTCGAGAACTGGGGAGGTTTCCATTCCCAAAAGCAGTGGATGTGGTYAAATGCATGTATGGATACCCCTTTCAGTGAGAAAGTGTGCTCTTTGTGCAAATACACAGTTTAGGAATACAACAAATTCCTTTTGGTTGAGTGAATGATGTTGTCTCCAYGCTCTCCTTTAACCTGGTTTAACTCTGCCTTTTGAATCTTTCAGATGGAATGAGTGGCTGTTGTATGACATGTACATTCCTGATCTCCCCCGTGCTGCTCGGCTCTGCCTTTCCATCTGCTCTGTTAAAGGCCGGAAGGGTGCTAAGGAGGTAAAATAACTCATGGATTTATTATACTAAAGAGCCAAAGCTACTCAAATTGAGTTTGGGAAGATATTTGGTGAATGCTGTCCTGGCAATGGGTGCAATGTTTGATTTGACTCTGATTAAAATAGGGGATGTTTCTTGTGGGTTTTTTTTTTTTTTTTTTTTTTTTTTTTTTTTTTTTTTGGTTTGGAAATTATTACAGAAAAAACTTTTCCGTTTTCAGCACTGTAAATTGTGTCTGTGCTGCATTGTTAGATGTGAAGACCAGTGTTAGCGTTTTGAGGTGGAAGTGCTTTTAAAATTAGTCTTGTAAGCCCATGTCATTAGCCTGTTTATTTTTAAAGGATAATATTTGTAGTTCTGGAGTTTTTCAAATAAAGAAAATTTGTACTCCTTTTAGCATTTGATGCAAGATCTCAAACAGTAATTTTTAAGTAATTTTTAAGAATCTATATGCAACATTTAATTTTAGCCAGCAGCATCATTGCATTCTGGGTTTGAGAGTGTGCCACAGGTAATGTATAGGGGATTTTGTCTATGAGCAAATTTATGAACCTTACAGAATGATTTGGGCTAGAAGGGATCCTTAAAGATCATCCAGTTCCACCCCCTTTCCACTATCCCAGGTTGCTCCAAGCCCCATCCAGCCTGGCCTTGAACACTTCAGGGATGGGACATCTGGAGCTTCTCTGGGCATCCTGTGCCAGTGTCTGACAAATCTGATTAAAAAAACCTACCCTTATTTAAAAAGTACTTATTTTGTCCACTATAAAAATATTGGCCTCGAGTTTAAACCTGTCACCCCTTGTTCAATCAATACAGGTCTTGGTAAAAGGTCTCTTTGTCGAAAAAACTTTTTCCATCACCTTGWCTTATTCTGGTGTGAGGAAGATGTGTGCATGTGCTTACAATTCTTTTGGTATCATTTTGTTAAAGGACTGCCATGACAGCCGTTTATAGAACAACATGGTACAGCTTCCACAACCTGCTTTCTGCTAATCTGGGAATGTAACAACCTGATCTAGGGTGAAAATGTTGTTTCTCCTGACCTGCTCTGCAGTAATCCATAGATGACACTGAAAAAAATCGTRTTTTAATCTCTTTAAAGGAGCACTGTCCATTGGCTTGGGGAAATATAAACATGTTCGATTACACAGACACTCTTGTATCTGGGAAAATGGCTTTGAATCTTTGGGCAGTACCTCATGGGCTGGAGGATTTGTTGAATCCTATTGGTGTTACTGGATCAAATCCAAATAAGGTATTTGCATGCCAGCTTCCCTCTTAAGAGTATGTTTTCATAATATGCTGTGTTCTGGTTGCTATCATTCAGCAGAAAAAGTAATTTGAATTCCCTTTCCCAGGAAACTCCATGCTTGGAGCTGGAATTTGACTGGTTTAGCAACCCTGTAAAGTTCCCAGATATGACAGTGATTGAAGAACATGCAAATTGGACAATTTCACGGGAACTGGGATTCAACTACAGCTATGCAGGGCAGGTAAGGCAAACTCCTCCTCCAGGATTAGCTATTCAGATATGAAAGTATTATTTACTACTTTATTTTACTCGGTATGTCAGTGGCAAAACTTCTTTTTGTACTGAATTTATTATAAAATCAGGAAATCAGTGTTCTGTTATGTGTTTAGTAAACTGAGCAATATTTTCGTTCTCCTTTCTTTATATTACCAGTAAACTGACCTAATTCTTCACTGACCAACCAAAATACTCTGAAGAGAAACTGTCATTTTGTGTAAACTCTTCAGGCATTTTTTACATTTTTGTATCACTAATTTGGATGTTAAACTGCTTCCTTTAATTTCTGAAAAGTTGTAATTTTCCTCCGCTGATACTGTTTTTCTTTGTTGCAGTTTCAGGTTTATAGGTAGGCTTTCCAGTGTACCCAAAGGTGCTTAGGACTCTCTCCTGTCTGTTTTATTGGCTAGTTATGAGCACAAGTACAGGGAATTTCAAGGAAATTGATTGGCATACACATGGGTRTAGTCCTTTATCTCCCTCCTTCCACAAAGAGAACTTCTGCATTACAATTGCTTTTTGGTGAGGCTTGGAGCTTTCTTAGAGCTGTTTTTGTTATGATACAGAGAGCAAAATTTGTTATTAATCTCAAAATAACAATGAATACCCTGCATTTAAAATCAATCAATACATAAGAGATTATTTATAAGTTCATTAATGTCTCAAATAAGAAAAAATTTACAAATATTAAATCTTAATTTACTATCTCACAATTCATAGAATTCCATGGTTTTGGTGTTGACCACAAGATAAAAGCATTTTCCTTCTGGGCTTGATCTAAACTATAAAGTAAAATCGAAYAGTAGTTGTTTCAATACCTCTGCCATTGTTCTAAACTGTCTTTARTAAATGAAGTCTTAAACAAGATTAATTTCTGCTTGTAGCAGTTCTGTTTTCTGTGCTCTTTGGGGAATGTCGTACAGAAATTGTGATTTAATATTTTCCTGCCTTGCTGTTACTAAGGCTTTTCTACAGCATTCTACCCCTTATTTATGTGTTTTCATCCCCCTTGTTCTGCTTTTTCTGCTCTGAATCTTTTTCACTCCTTTCAGCAGTTCTCAGCAACCTCAAGCTGGGGTCAGAAATGACTGGTCTCACTTTGTGCTGCACTCTGTCATTCATCAGATCTCAACTGCTGCTAGTTCTCCACACATCTGATTTAGTTRAAACTCACCTCTTCCTGTCCCAGTTGTGACTAAAAGCAGTTGTAGAGATCAAAGGCCCAGTCTTTTATCTCTCTTTCTAAATCTTAAGCTCTGTTATAACAAATGAATACAAGAAGGTAGTTATTGTGTGACATAGGCTGTARGGGTGGATCTGCTGTTCAAACACCGTGTTTCATGTTGTGGTTTGGCCACAGAAGGAATCGTGTGGAGGGCTAATGTGCCACTGTCTCTGCAGAGTAACAGACTAGCTCGGGATAGTGAATTAACAGAGAGTGACAAGGAGCAACTGCGAGCCATATGTACCCGAGACCCTTTGTCTGAAATCACTGAGCAAGAGAAGGACTTCCTCTGGAGACACAGGTACTGGAAATCAAAAACCAAACAAAAGAAAACCCTTCTTGCCGTGAGTGAACTTCACCCCATTCACTCTGAATTTGTCATGAGTTTTGCTCCCTTTTCTTCCACGTTGGGGAGTTGTTGTTYTAGACAAGGCTTGTAAAGCCTTCTGCATTGTGTGGCTTGGTTATAAGCCCGTGGAGAAAAATAAGTTGTTGAATGAGTTCCCATTTTCTTATTACTGCAATTTTACCTGCATGGTTGGAYCCTGACAGCACCTTCCTGACAAAGGAAGAAAAAGGTGTAAAATTGTGGGGACACAGTTGATGGTYAGCAAAGCAAAAGTGGTTTTTCTATACATGCAACTTCTTCCTCTTTTGCAGACACTATTGTGTGAATACTCCAGAAATTCTACCCAAGTTACTTCTGTCTGTCAAGTGGAATTCTAGAGATGAAGTGGCCCAGGTAACATAAAGCACTGAAGAAGTCTTAAGTATTGAATGTCTTTATATTATTAAGATTATACTATATTTAAAATACTCTATTTTAAAGAAAACTACTGGAAGTTAAAAACATGTTATGTGTGCCTGATCATTGAATGAATTCTGGGAGTTGCCATTAGGATTGACAGATGTCTCTGATCCATAGTTCTTGTTTTTCATTTCAGTTTGGGTCTTAAGATTTCCTCTTGCTGGCATTACTCAAATCCCTCTTATGTTGCCAGCTTGTCAATTACAGTTAAATGTGAGGTTTTGTTTTCATTCTTTTTAGAGGGGATAAAACAACAAAATCAACTGGCAGCTAATASCAGATTGTTGACTGAGATGACCAGCAAGTAAACAGTTCCTACTCAGATGTAGTTTGTATCTGACAATACATTCTAATGGCTGTGTGTTGCAGCTTCTTCCTAAGCAGTGCAAAAGTGTAATGTGCTTGGACTTCTTGCCCACAGATGTACTGTTTGGTAAAAGATTGGCCCTCAATCAAGCCAGAGCAAGCAATGGAGCTCCTGGACTGCAATTACCCAGACCCAATGGTGCGAGCTTTTGCAGTTCGGTGTCTGGAGAAGTCCCTGACAGATGACAAACTGTCTCAGTATCTAATCCAGCTGGTRCAGGTATRCAACATGTCATGGCATGYTTGTTGTCTTGTGTATATTCAAAGRTCACAGAGGCTTAAAATACAATAGAAGTTAAGTTGTTGTGAGAAAGGTCATCAAAAATCTGTTTGCTTTGCAGGTTGTTTAGGAGGAGATGAAATGTTATTTTTTCTGTAGTGCTGTGGTTTTGCTTGTTGGTACTAAATGACAGAATTCTGCAGAGATGCAAAACTGTTCTACCAACTGGAACAGGCAGCTATTTCAGCTGTCCTAACATATGGGRAAGGATAAGCAGAACCATCTTCTCAAAATTTTGAGCAAGTTGAGGCTAAAATATTTGGTAACAGTAAGCAAGCATCAGATGGTAAGTTCCTGAAATAGAGGCAGCCAGTGCACAGTTGGCATATATTGTTTAAAGCCTAACACATGCAAATATTAATACCAAGATCAGTCATTCTAGAAAAAATARTGTAAAACATAGATAGCATTTTCTTTAACTGCCTTTAATCTGTGTATTGTTCATGGAAATAATAACTGCAGCTGATTTTTTTTCTTTTCTCTTTATTCTTAACTAGGTTCTGAAATATGAGCAGTATTTAGATAATCAGCTTGTGAGATTTTTACTCAAGAAGGCACTGACTAATCAAAGGATAGGACATTTCTTCTTTTGGCATTTAAAGTAAGCTTAATGTCACGTTAAGTGGTGGTGGGATTCCTATTGCTTGTATACAAATAGTTGTTCTAAAGGTTTGACAAAAGGAAAACATGACCACTTAAAATAAAGATTGGGTTTATTGGTTAAGAGTCTGAATACATAGTTTGGCCTTGCAGTTTCAAAAGCTGCTTGAYAGTACTTAGACTTGTACTGCTTTTTATCTAATGATTATTTGAMAAACAAGGTAGTCTGAGACTGCCAAAAGCTTCCCGTATTGTCAACTGCCCAATTCCCCATCAGTTTTTTCCAGAAAACTTTACAAATATATGAGGCCTAAAGAAAGCCCCCCAATTCATAAGTTTTGAAAAAGCTTAGTATAAGCTTTAATTTTACTTGTTTATTGAATGCTTATTATAGAGCTTGATAGCTCAGTCTACAACATACTGGGTTATAGCTAGAGCTCACCTAAAAATTCTGTTCTGAGCTGGTGCAATCAGACAGAAATAGAAGCAAGGCATCTTTGTTGTGCTCTCAGTTTTCTACTTGCCTTGGTGTCATCAAGGATAAGGGAGGGGATTGTTTGAGGGGATGTATTTTAGGACTGTATGGAGACGTCACAAGAACAGCTTCATTTTTGGCACCTCKAAGTGGTCTTGTCTCTAAGCTGTAACTGTTCTTCCTCCCTGTCTAGGTCTGAAATGCACAACAAAACTGTCAGTCAGAGGTTTGGTTTGCTTCTGGAGTCCTACTGTCGAGCATGTGGRATGTACCTAAAGCACCTGAGCAGGCAGGTGGAGGCCATGGAGAAGTTGATTAACCTCACAGATATTCTCAAGCAGGAAAAAAAGGATGAGACCCAGAAGGTATCAAAAGCTGTCCTTGTATCAGAATTGGTGCTGTTGAGTCACAACAATTACTTAGAACTGTTCTATTTGATTAACTAGGAAGGTGTTGGTGCTAACTGCAGTAGGCAGTGTGTTGTCCTAGGAGCTGCAATATTTTCTGTGCAGTGCCATTGTCTCGCTCTCAAGGCAATAGAAGGAAAGTTAAAGTTTTCAATCTGTGTAATATGTAGCTGAGCAAAGTTACTTATATTAGAACTGTGCAAATCCATGCTTTAGAATCAAAGCTAAAATCTGGTATCTTCWTTTACTTCAAATAGTCTTCTCAAGWCCTGAATGTGCTTATTTGTCAGGTACAGATGAAGTTTCTTGTTGAACAAATGAGACGGCCAGATTTTATGGATGCCTTGCAAGGATTTATCTCTCCTCTTAATCCTGCACATCAACTGGGAAACCTTCGGTATTGTATCCAATTTTGAAGTTTGTCTAGATTCTTAAGTAAATGTTTAGTAATGGCRAGAATGACAGTGTTGAAGTTGAGTGTTAACTTATTAAATGTTAGTGTCTTTAAAGTTCACTGAATAGAATTTGTAGCAGAGTAATGCTTAGRGTACAGTCATTTCAATCTAATGGTTTAACAAATCAAGGAAYGGACCTGACCTTTAGCTGTTCCTTTAAGGTGGCRGKAACTGCAGCCCTTTTTCCAGTTGTCAGGAGTACATATTGCCAAGGGAATATTTACAATATTCCCTTACAACACAACTCTCCTTGGTCTGAGRAAATGGTTAACGTAGCACTTACTAATTTAAATTTGAGTCTGAAAGTAAAAATGATGGATTGTCAGTCAACTTTGCATCTTTAATTTGGTGCTAGTTCAGAGTTTGAGCAAAGCAGGGAGAACTTAGTACTATTACAGAAACATGGTATAAGAATCAAGTCATGCCTATTTCATAGAAATCTTATCTCTTTTAGGCTTGAGGAGTGCAGGATAATGTCATCTGCAAAAAGGCCGCTGTGGTTGAACTGGGAAAACCCAGATATCATGTCTGAATTGTTATTTCAGAACAATGAGATAATATTTAAAAATGGAGATGGTAAGGAAAGATAAGTTTAATTCAAAAGCTACATATCTGTTTATTTCCTAACATATTATTTAATGGTTATAAAATAGTGGTTAAAAATAAATTTAAACATCATCGGAGCAATGCTCTTTTCCGGAGAAATTAAGATGGACAAATATTTATCTCAGTCAAGTAYAAATTTTATATGTTCTGAGATGCTCAGTCTGCCAAGGTGGAACAATATTTAATATTTGTTCTTCTTATTAGAAAATGTCTTCAAGATATTACAGATATGTAAACTGTGATTCCATTGTCCTGATTTCAGTGTACGCTTTTAAAATTACCACTACAAGTTTATATTCACTTTTCATTGTTTAAAACCTGCTTTTCTCTATTGAGGCAATAAAACCTACACTAAACTATGCAAACCCCATTACCTTTAGATGTATTTAGACATAGTTTTGTGGGGGAAAGGTAAAATAAGATCTCAGTATTCTAGTGTTATGAAATTTGCAATCTTTATGTATTTGACTGTTTCAGATTTGCGTCAGGACATGCTGACACTTCAGATAATTCGAATTATGGAAAACATCTGGCAAAATCAGGGTCTTGATCTTCGGTAAGCATTAAAGTCATTCCCAAGCCATACTGATCTTAACGGTTTTGGCATTGGTTTATTCCCAGAGATTGCTTCGTTTTCCCACAGATAATAAATGAAATGCCATAAATAGACATGTGAGAGCAGCATTTAATTTTTTCAGTTAACTAAACAGGATTTTATAAATAAAAGAACCATATTTGAAAAATACTGAAATCTTGTTCAAGTGGGTCTGAGGGGATTACCTACCAGGAATGGATACAAGCACTAAGGCRAAGTGGCCACATTGTGGCCAATTGATTGTGTCTGTAGGTTTGGCTTTGAATGAGTTGSCAAAGCAGTGATCTTTGTAGTTGGTATCATTGCTTCAGTCCACATGTTAGGTGGACTACCGGTCTACCTGAGCTTCTCCATCTCCACAGAGTCTGTGGATGCCACAGCTTCTGCAGGACATTTGGGATAAACTGTTCTGCTTCTGGAAAACTGAACCTAGACATGTTACACCTTCAAATTGGTGTTTGCTGTGTGGTACATTTTTAGGTGGAGACAGAGGAGCTGCCTCTGTAATCAAGAAACCCCCAGTTTTCATTTCCTTATCTAGACAAAAGGACCCGTTGGTCCATGCTGTCTCTCATGGGTTACGGTTTTGTCTTCAGTGCTGTAATGGGTGGCATAATTGAGAGTTACAATTGCCCATGTCTTACAGAATAGCCAGAAATCTGTAAAAATACATCCTCTGCCACCTCTTGCCACCATTCTCTRTGCAAGGGGAAAAAAACAGAATGAACCTTTTGTCTTTCAGGATGTTGCCTTATGGTTGTTTGTCGATCGGTGACTGTGTGGGACTCATCGAGGTYGTGAGGAGCTCTCACACCATCATGCAGATTCAGTGCAAAGGAGGCTTAAAAGGAGCTCTGCAGTTCAACAGCCATACRTTGCATCAGTGGCTCAAGGACAAGAACAAAGGAGACATGTGAGATTTCCTGTTGCCTGTTTTTCTTGTCCGTAGGCTTCTTTTTGATGGAAACTTGAAGAGACCTAAAGTTCGCCAAGTGGGAGATTATGTCCGTAATTAGTCTGTCTGGTTTTGTATTTTGTTTTCTTTTTTACCTGTTCTTGTTTTTCTGGTAGCTCTTTTGCAAAAGAAAAACATGCCCCTCTGTGTTATGAGAGGATCTGAGGGAAGTGTCTCCTTTTCTGTTGGGACAGGTACGATGCAGCTATTGACTTGTTTACACGTTCTTGTGCTGGCTACTGCGTTGCCACCTTCATCCTGGGCATYGGCGATCGCCACAACAGTAACATCATGGTCAAAGATGATGGGCAAGTAAGAGATGTTTATTAAAACCATACCCTAAGGTCATCCTCCCTTTTGGTCTGAGTTTGTTTTGGAAAAAAAATCTTACCAGAACTAAGTAATAATTTTGCAGTGACTTCATTTAAACCAGGAATTGCTAATCTTAAACCTTTCTGTCTTTCTAAGCTGTTTCACATTGACTTTGGGCACTTCCTCGATCATAAGAAGAAAAAATTTGGTTACAAAAGAGAGCGTGTGCCATTTGTCTTAACRCAAGACTTCTTAATAGTGATTAGTAAAGGAGCCCAAGAATGTACCAAAACAAGGGAGTTTGAAAGGTGAGCCTTCTTTTAAACATTTAATCTCCGGAGTGTTTTGTACCTAAAATGCACTTTTACTACTGGTGACCTTTAATAATTAGACCTTTTAACTGAAAAATAGTATTTTAATTGGCTTGCAGTGGGTATGTTCTAATTCTTCAGCTGAAGATCAGCCATGCATTTATATATCAGTGGGTAATCTTAGTGCTTACATGACCTTTGGTCCATGAAATCCCACTTGAGATTTGCAGGGTCAAGCATACATGTGAATAAAGATGGTAATTTTTTAAACATCTGAAATTTCTTTGACTTAGCATTTAAAGTGCTCTTGAGATTGCAGACTRCAAGTATTGAGAATTCTTTAATGTTGAGCGTTGTGAGCATCAGAGCCTTKCTGGTAATTCAGCCATACTTCTCTCTTCTACAGCTGCTCTGATATCAGCTCTTCAACTGGCCTGTATAGCTTGTGACAATGGCCAGAATCTGCTGAGAAAGAACTTTAAAAATAGTAACAGTAAAGAGAGAAATCTGTTGCTGTAGTAATTTTTAATATCTCTTTCCACTGATCCAGTCTTTGAGAGGTTTCAGTTTTAATCTTAATTTCATTATGTTGGGACAAGGGAAGACATATGTTGAATTATAGTGTTTGTCTGAAAACTGCAGTGGAGCTTTTTTGAATTATTTTCCCTTGACCTGGGTATTTTTTATCTGGTGTGATGTAGCAAATACCCCTGTTTTCAATGCATTCTTYAGAGTATCCAAGGAGCAACAGCTACTGCCCTCATAAAACTACAGAAAATGCAACTCTGATGATAACCAGGAAAGCATTGTTCGCAGCAGTGTATCAGGAAATAGGCTTTGAAATCTGAAATGTCAGCAGCAGTGACTAAAATGATCCTGTGAGCTCACATAAATTTGTATTGAACAGTTGCATCAACTGCAGGTGAGGTTTAAGACTAGAAAGCCTGTCTTCAGTTTGGATGTTGGGTTTGTCTGCCCGCTTTTAATTCTTACACAAATGAAGATAAACTAAGTAGGAAAATGAGTGTATCTTCTCAGCAACATTATGGTGTTCTTACTAGACTAAGACTGTCCACTTTTTGAGTGTCTGATTACTTGTAAAAGTGTTTTGGAGGTGAAGCAGTAATATGAATCCAGCAGGGMAATACACTGATATTTTTTCCCCTGGTCTCTTCCAGGTTTCAGGAGATGTGTTATAAGGCTTACCTAGCAATTCGGCAGCATGCCAATCTCTTCATCAATCTTTTCTCCATGATGCTTGGCTCAGGAATGCCAGAACTGCAGTCCTTTGATGATATTGCATACATTCGAAAGACCCTTGCATTGGACAAAACTGAGCAGGAGGCTCTTGAGTACTTCATGAAGCAAATGAACGATGCTCACCATGGTGGCTGGACAACAAAAATGGACTGGATCTTCCACACAATAAAGCAGCATGCTTTGAACTGAACAGACAGCAAAGAAAACAAGAACTGATACCCCGCTTTGTGGGTACTGCACTGTTAATACCCATTAGCAGCAAAGACTGGTTGCATAGGAATTGCACAAACCATGAACAACATTAGAATTTATGGCAAGAGAAGAGATGAATTGTCCAGACAACTGTTGGAAAAAGACATGAAACAGGGTTTCAGATAGCACTAAAATKATACACTTCGAATATTAAGCTTTAGTATGATGTGTGCAGAGAGACCWCGACAAATTAGAGAGATGGGCAATCACCAAGTGAATGAGGTTTAACAAGGGCACGTGCCAGATTCTGCACCTGGAACGGGGCACTCCTGGTTGTGTGCACAGACTGGGGAATGAGAGGCTGGAGAGCARCRCTGTGGGGAGGGCCCTGGGGGTTCTGGTCTGTGGCAAGTTGAACATGAGTTGGCAGTGCCCTGCAGCCAGGAGGAMCACCCGTGTCCTGGGGGGCATCAGGCACAGAATTGCCAGCCAGGCAAGGGAGGGGGTTGTCCCACTCTGCTTTGCACTGGGGAAGCCTCGCCTTGAATATTGTGTGCAGTTTTAGATGCCACAATACAAAAAAAAAAAAAAATTAAGCTATCAGAGAGTGTCCAAAGGAGGGCCACAAGGATGGTGAAGGGTCTGGAGGGGAAGCTGTGTGAGAAGTAGCTGAGGTCACTTGGTCTGGTCAACTTGGAGGAAGAGGAGACTGAGGTCAGACCTCATCAGGGTCTGCAGCTCCCTCACAAGGGAAGTAGAGGGGCAAGTACCAATCTCTGCTCTCTGGTGACAGTGACAGGACTTGAGGGAATGGCATGAAGCGAGTCAGGGGAGGTTTAGGTTGGATATCAGGGAAAGGTTCTTCACCCAGAGGGTGGTTGAGCACAGTCACAGCCCCAAGCCTGACAGAGTTCCAGAAGTGTTTGGACAATGCTCTCAGGCACATGGTGSGATTCCTGGGGTGTCCTGTGCAGGGCTGAGAGTTGKATGCAATGATCATTGTGGGTCCCTTCCAACTCAGCATATTCTATGATTTGATGATTYATGTTATGCCTTAAGCTCAGAAAGGTAAATTTGGAAGAATGTTTCCTTTTCTCATTTGATAGGATAAACTAGAAGGAAAAAGAAAATAATGCTAGCATGACCATAAGAGTCCATCATGTATTACCTTAGATCTGGTACAGCAGGTAGAGACTATGCTGGCTTGTGAAGAGTGGACAGAGAATTCAAGTGATAGCAAATACTTAAATGCAGCGTAGTTTAAAGGGAAGGAGTTTGAAGCTCAAAGATCYAAAAACAATAGTGAGAGGGCAGTGCCTTTTAAATGTGCTCAGAGGCATCAACATTTGCGGGGTTTGGGTGACCCTTCGATTTCTGGGTCCGTCATCTGCACGGTTTCTGAAAGCAGTAGGAAATTGGCCCACTCAGTATGGTGTTTCTTTTGCTCAGTATTTCTAGGGGTGCAATTYATATTTTCACAAAGAAACTCCCTATCATCCCCAAAAACTGACTAACCTGGAAATTGAATGGTCAGAATTGGGTTTAGTGCAACRGAGAGCTGTAGTGTTCATCTTAGGTTTGCTTTAATCTAACTTGAACTGAATAGATTTTTTTCATACATGTTTTCCAGAACCTAAAGAAAGGTGAGTTATTAAAATTATTGAAAGATTATTTTTTTATAAAGGCTATTTATATAATAGGAACTATTATTAATATATATTCTTTATTTACCTGATTTGTCCAATATTAACTCTCTTAATTTTGCAACCCAGTTCTATCTGTCCAAGACTCCCGTTTTCATTAACGTCACTGAAGGTGACCAGACATACTCCTAGGACCAAATTCAGCCCTAGTGAAAGAGGACACAAGTACCAGTGAAGTAGTGGGGATATACCCACTAAAGCCAGAGGTGAACTTGGCCTAAGTCTCTAAAAATATTTTGGGAATCACTCTTCTGAAATGTATCACATTACTGAAGTGATATGCTKGCTATTCCAAGAACGTTCATTTAAACCCTCAAATTTTGGGTCTATCATTTCTCCTCTTTCTTCCTCCTTTGGAAGTGGTTGTTGAATCCAGTAAGATACATCAGAAATAGCAATTTAGATTTTCAATATGATCAATATTAAGCAGTTCAACAGACAGATATGTTGGCTAGCTCAAAGCATGTGGAGTTACCAAACATTTTATAGCTTTGTCTGTTTTGTGCGTGTGTGTACTATATATTTGTAAATCTAGTTGTTGTCCTTTAACACAATTACTGTGTGTGCAATKAAATTGGCACCATGTTTTGAAACTGTTCAAAGTACTGAGGATTTCAGATTGCSCTTATGCACAACTTCAGGTAGGACTGTTTTTCTAATTCCTAAAGAGGTTTTTTTAAATTAGTGAAGCCCATTATAGTTCTGTGGGTGATGTTCACCCTGACATTTTAAACTTGCTAGATTGGCAGCACTTGAATTCCAGAGGTTTGGGGCTTTCGGGGGTTCAGCTTGTTCACTTGCAAACACGCACCGAGGTGCCACTCAGAAAGTGCAATACCACRTGTAATATAAAATATGCTGGCAGTTGGTGTTAGATTAGAAAATAAGCATATAAATAAACTGTACTTTGTGCAGGCTGTGCTGATGAGGTAATGAATGGTTGGCTTCATTTAGCAAATTGTAATATATTAAAAATGTGCAATCAATCACGTTATGAAAGACTTGGGGGATTGTAAAGCCAAGGCTTCGGTGTTTCGAGAYACTTTCAAAGTCAGGATCCTGCAGTTGATTACTGTGCACATGGATACTTGATGTGGGGGAAAACCTGGTTTTGGGAAAACTACAGAAGCTCCAAGAATAGTATGGGAAATGTGAAGTTTTATTTCCTTAGTTCTACTAAATATTTTGGAGTAATCTAATAGACTTCCCATTGCTTTTTTTTATTGACTGTTACATATTCCTTYTTGTTCATATGAATATTTTAACTCCTGCTGAGCTTGGTTGTACTTTCTAGAGCAAAGTTACCCCTGTATCTATTACTTTGCAGACAACACAAATGGTTTAGCTCTTACAACATGGGTGAGTTTCAGTTTAGTTCACAAAATCTGAAACCCTGTTGGCTGTAATTCTTAATTTAATTGAGTAAAACTTTTGCACAAACATCACATTAGGTGCTATATTATCYGTATTTATCTGGTGTTGAAACAATTCTTTACCTCGTTTATCTAAGAAATGGTCAGCCTTTTCCAGCCTGGATGAAAAGATTAACTCAAATTTATTGGATGTTATGACCCTGARTTTGTTTTGTATTTTGCCCCTTCCTAATCCTTCTGTAAATATGAGTATCAATGTCTTTCTGTTCAAGCACAGTGTTCTGCACCCTTTTTCCCCAGACAGAGGTATGAGGAATCAGGCTCTGTTTCCAAAAGTTACTGCAATTAAATGTTGTGCAGAAACTATAGAAGTTATTATGAGAATCAAATCGTAAAAGAGAGGAAACTTCAGATTTGTGCAGACATTATACAGTTCAAAGTAATTATAGCCTTTAAACAAAATTTTTTTAAAAGTAGAAGCTCATGGGCTTTAAGCAGTTCTTTGCATAACCAGGATGGRCATTTGAAAAACATTCTGCCTKTGTTTYRCAAAAAACAAAAATCCTTTTCTCARCTTCAAAGTATTGAACCCTAATTACTGYATCCTGTCACGGCAGTTCTGTGCTGATGTAACTTACTGAGRATAGTGGAGGCACTGTTTGCTTACCCTGGTGCCAATGAGAGGATGTCATCTGCTCTCAGTATCAGAAATAAGATCTGCTTGCAGACCATGAATGCACTTAGTAACTGAGTCCTAGATTTTTATAAAAATAGCTTGGAATTTGGCTTATTTTTAACTATTCCCACTTCACRGAGATTTGAAGATGCTCCCTTTGTTTTGGGAATCAGCTACAGAAAACACTAAAGTCGTTTATTTTGAGCTTGAATTGAATCAGGACACCTTGCTCTTGCAGACCTTCCTTGTAAGGCTCCCAGAGCAAGGAGCCCAGGTTGGGCTGCGTTTTTTATCACAAAGCATTAGAAAATGGTGTTTTAGTGAAATAACCTTTAAAACCAGTAACTTCTCCAACTGTGAAACTGCGTTTGATTTAATGACAGAACAGGCTGCTGCTGAGTAGTTTTACTTAGAATTACATTCATTGCTTTCCTGAAGATAGCAGAAAAAGTACCTGTACTGACTTTATATATGCATACTTCTCTGTCTGAAAGGGTGCACTAGTAGTTTTTTCATAGGTGAAACAGATTTTCAATATAAGTTTTAAAATATTTTTAAAAGGCATTTAAATAAAAGTAAAACTGTAAGTGGTTTGGCATCTTGGGGACAAGATAGGAGCCTGCATATTAAGGACAATGTAGAAATTACCAGGTTTGTAAGAACTTTATATGTGATGACCCTGCTCTTGGTGGTTTGGCGAGTTGTTTGTGCATTTTTATTCCAGCTTTCCTTTTTATGTAAAGTATTAAATGCCCTTCAGTGGTCAGTAGCCCATGTATGTTGACAATTTGAAGGTATTTTCTTTGCTTTGTCATTATATAACTGGCATGTTCCAACGTCTGTTCTTAACAGTAATTATGAATTCTTMCTGTTTTGCATGTCTGTACAGGTTGCAGACCTGGGCTGGACCCATTCAAAAAACAAATATCAGAAAAGCCACTTGAAATTAATATTTTTGTTGATGTCTTTGGCATCTTGAAAATACTTCAAGTTAATGAAAATGGTGTGGTATTACAGAAAGAATTGTAACTTGCTGCTTCTAGGATTWTTTTTTCAACTTTTTTCTCTTGTTTTTGTCCTACTTGAATGGAAGAACCACACTTGTTTTTTAAAACTACTATATAGCTGTGGATGTTGTCGCAGATTGTTGAATCCCAATTTAATTTTGCAATACATGTTTCATACAAATAATGAATTTGCATCTTTTTATTCTGTGCTGAAAGTTGTCTCAGTTTAGGTAAGGCTCTATCTGTCCAAAATGATGTGTAGCTCACCACCCCTGCAGCTGGTGTTGGTTTGGGGTTTTTCTTTGTTTAGTTTTACCTTTTTTTTACATCTGTGTTAATGAAGGGCTATACAAGTTCTCGGTTTGCATACACTAACCAAACCTACAGGTGCTCTGCTCTTTGAGAAATACTGATTTYACTTTATGCTGATGCAACACAGACTTTATCAGAATCGCTCTGGATTCACAATAGCTTCTGAAATCAGAATTAAGCTATATGTATATCAATGTTCTAGATTATTTATTCCTATGATTCAGTATGAAAGGTTCTCATAAGGAGAGGAATGTTTACTAGCAGCCCAGTTAAACACTTAGTAATCATACTTTGAAATGATCTTTATTAACAAAGTAGCCTTTTCAGCTCTGCAAAAGTACCGTAATCTTGTCTGCAGYTTGTTTCATTCTTGAGACTTCCAATATTTTTGTTGCTTGCTAGCTTAAATGTTTCCTCTTCCTACTCTTTTGTAGCATACAGACTTGTTGAACTCACACTCAGGAAAAATAATTATTCTTCATTTGCCATACAGTGTTCTGGACTTCTGAGCTTTATGGGATAGACTCTGAGAAGTCTGAGGTCTTGCTGTGTTAGTTCTCCTGACTCTTAAGCCAGAGGTGAATCCCTCTGTCTCTTCTCTTCTCTCTCCAACACCCCTCTGGGACATGCCCAGAGCATAAGAACATCATAAAATATTTGTTAGAGAAGATCAATTGAAGCAATGTTCTGCCTGTACTTTRAAGTAAGTGTCCCCACTGGTTTGTGTAAGTGTGTTTTAAGTGTCCTTACTGTCACTTCTGTATGTGATGCAATATTCCTGTGGCAGATGGAAGGCAAAAAATACACTATTCTGTCTTGATTCTCCTTGAAATTCTGGTGCCTGATTCCCAGTAGTTATTAAACTGCTTCAGGAACCATTCAGTTCAGTGTAACTGCATCAATTTTGTTAGGGCCCTGTTCCAGTAATATAATTAATCACAGCTAAACCTGACTTAATTGTATTGTTGAAGTTACTGAAAGCCTAATTCAGGCAGAAGCTGTTTATTTCAAGGATCTTTATCTGTTGTAGTTTAGTTAATCCTTGTGAGCCAAAATACAGAYATTCATAGTTRGAATCTTATTCTGCCWTGTTTCTTTAACTACTTTTAATCTRTTTTGAGGCTTTATTAATAATGTTYTGTATCCTGAAATGTCAACTTMCCCAGGCTGTCCAAAGTTGTCCTACTGTTTCATTTGGGGCTGGGAAAAGGAATGGATCAATCCTCTTGTCTTATGGCAGCTGTGGTCCAAATTCTTCATTTCTCTTGTGAGGATAAATGTCCAACTCACCATCTGGGAGTAACATCCTTTCTCTTTGTCCCCTCACATCTCTTCAAGTTTTAACTGTGAATATCCACTACACTATCAAAATCTACTTCCCTGGTGGAGAAAAGGGTTTAAAATATATGTGGCTGCAGTCTGATGTCCTGGATTCTTGGGCTTGAAATTTTGAATGTGCTGTCATTGTAAATGGCAACACAATTACAGAATTTTCACAGAATTGTTGAGGTTGGCAGAGATCTTTGGAGATCATTTAGCCCAGACATGCTGTTCAAAGCAGGGTCAGCAACAGAACAGGATGCCCAGGACATTGTCCAGCTGGCTTTAGAGTCTGTCTGAGGAAGAGGACTCCTCAGTCAATTTTTTTTTTTTCATTTTTATATGAAATATCTTCTGTTTCATTGCCTGATACCCTTTCAGTGGGCAGCACTGAGAAAAGCCTTGCCTGTCTTTACTCCCCTCTGTCACATATTTATGTACATTGACAAACCCCCTCTGAGCTTTCTCTTTGACCAGGATGACAATCCTGGCTCTCCCAGCCTCCTCTCCTGTCCTTTACCTTTACAGCCCTTCATGGACCCATCCCAGTATGTTCACATCAGGTTCATACTGGGAGCCCAGTGCTCCAGCTGTGGCCTCACCAGTGCTGAGCAGAGGGGCAGAGTGAAGGCTCTCCTCCCTTAACCTGCTCTTCCTAAGGCAGCCCTGTTGGCATTTTGGGTAAATAGAGCCCAGGAGGGTGTCACCTCTTGATGCTTCTGTGTAACTTCATGGAAACTGGGAGTGGTTACACRTCTGCATCAGAGGGAGAGTATAAACACCCACCAGTGCTTCAAAAGCCTTTTAAAAATGAGACAATTACCATTGGAATAACCACTACTGGGGCAGGGGGGGATATTGCCGTGTGTGTCATTCTGTGATAAAGGTCTGTGGTAAAGTAGGTAGAAAGCAAGACATTTTTAGTAATAATGGGCCAAAAAGTATCTAAGATGCAGCAAGATGCATGCGTTGTCTTACTGAGAATAGTCTTGCAGTATTTTAAATAAAAATAAGTAAAACCACAACCCCCTTTTTAACCCTTCTGCTGTGCTACTCCAGTAACAAAAGTTTGGCCTATGATACTTATTGTAGTTTCATGTTCATGGGAAACTGTAAAAAGTCTGCTTTTTATTTATCTTCGCGGTCTGTATCATGCTGTTTATTAAAACAAACTACTTTTGTTTGGTTTTTATCACACTTTTGAGTGTTAATGTACATACTAACAACTAAATTAAAATGATATGGTTGGTACACTTGTGAATTCTGATGTGAGAMTTTAAGGCATATTCAGTCTTGGTGTGTGATTTGGTGTTGCAGCTCGGAAAGGCTAGAAAAAATGAGATGGAAATTGCATACCTCAATTTGGGGAAAAAAAATAGAATTTGCATTATTTATRGGTGAAAAGTCCAAGATGCATATATAACATTTGTTCTTGTAAATGCTGATCCTCAAAATAAGTAATTTTATTTTAGTTTAAGACTTGGGCTGTAAAAAGCTCTGACAAGAGAGATGATGTTATTTAAATGTTTTACCTGGATGGTTTACAGTCATTGCTAAATCAATCTTGTTTAGAAAAATATGCTTCATGCTTTCATTACCAAAATCACATTTTATAAAAACAAGGTTATATTTYTGTATTCAATACTAATTTTGAAAGAGTGAGGAGCATACTTGGAGAAATTACTCACTGGAAGTATAAGAGCATGAGGCTGCAAAGGAATTCCTTYTGTAGACATGTTGGCCTAGTTTGGATTCCAGTTTGCTAACAAACTGGGAGGGATTTGAGTTCTCTTGCTGAGGATTTCACTTTTTTGGAGGGATGAAGGAAGCGTCAGGGTGTTTAATCAGGCCCTTTCAACTCACTTSTCTCCAGTAAGCTCTAAACTTTGTACTCAAACTTTGTAGTCAATTCTCTTTCAGGACACACTGCTCAGCTTTGAGAAGGGCTGTGTCCCAGAAGGTGCTCAGTCTGTGCTGCATCAACTCCATTACAAAAGATCATCATCATCCTTACATTTATTTTGAAGCTCCAGTGGAGCTCTGATCTGCGAAGAGTTATTCCAGATATGGCTGGGGACTTGGAAATGGCCACTTCAGTAACCTGTACTAACAGGTTAAACTTGTGTTTGTTACAGGTAAGGTGAGTTTTACCTTTTCTGGTAATTATGAAATGGCTGTGAGTGGCTACAACCGTGTGCTAATTGCACAGGAAAAGGGAATCATCAGCTCTCATTCAAATACCAATTTTAGACTTGACTGCCATTAGCAGGGTGTGATTTTTGTGGTAGTTCTAAGTCTAAATGTGAAAAAAATTACAGAAAATTTGAAAAATAATGCTGGTGAAACAGAAGAAAGATTTGTAATGTGGGCAGTTTGCTTTAGCATGGTAATCTGAGTGAGCCCTCCTGATTTTATCAGAAATCAGTCTGTTTTTTGGCCTGCCTTGAAAAGACTCAATCTAAAGTCTGAATCCCTGTAACAAAAGAACCTGATGCCAGAGAAGATATCACAAGTAAACTCCTACATGTTTTATACACTAACAAATCTACCTGCAGTGAAGGATGTCCTTGGGAGCTATGCTAATTGCTTTCACTGAAGAAAGGTTTTAGTCCATTCTTACTTTGGTCAGGATACATCCCCACTAATTGAAATGAGCATTATCTATACTGCCCATTTAAACAAGAATGTGAATTTAAACAAGAATATGAATATCACATGGAAATTTTCTGTATTTCCAGGCAGAATTGGTTCTGTGTGATTAAAACCTCGCCCAGAGCTCTCTGAACATCCCAAGCACATGGAACTTTAGAAAACAAGACTCATTTAGGCTTTTCTGTCTAAAGCATTGATAGCTCTGTTTGATGCATGTGGCTTTGAACTGGATGTGCGGCTTCAAAGGAGATCCTCCTCAGATGTTTTYCTTTCACTTAAAGCCTTGTCTTTTTATCTGTGATGTTGGGCCGTGCTGCTTTGGGTGGAGAAGAAATCAGTCAAAAGGTACAGAAGATGCTTTGGTCCCCCTGAGTTTGCTTCACGAGCAGGACCGAATTCAAAGCAAAGGCTTGGGCTTGGGTTTTGGTGTTGGTTTTTTTTTGTTGGTTTTTTTTTTTTTTTTTTTTTTCCCTTTCCCTTGGCAAAGCAAAGTATGGGCTTTAATCTCATCACTGCCCTCCTGTGGGAACTGGGGAAACTGCTTTTCTGGAATACTTGTGGAAAACATTTTGGTGAATAGAGGGAGAAATGTGTGGGCACCCACCCATTTGTGTGGCTGTAGCCAATTTATAAATGCTGTGCTGGGGAAACCTCAGCAATCGTGGCTGGAATAAAAAACAGAGAAAAAACTCAACTGGAATACCAGGATCTTCTTTGATTATTAACTCATCTCAGGAGATCATAGATACACAATTTATTTAATTTCTGAGGGCTCAGCAATATGCCAGCAAAAGGAAACTTTTAGTTCTGTTTTGGTRAAACTTCTTGTGTTTTAGTTTACACTCCCATTGCTCCTCATGCTGTTGCTGGGGACTACCAAAAAGAATCTGGCACTGTTTTTTGGCCCCTGCATTTAAAATATTTATGTGCATTGATGAGATGCCCTGTCAGTYTTTTCTTCTCCAGCCTAAGCAGTCCAAGCTCCCAAGAGGTGGGATCTCTCTCACAAGAGATGCTCCAGACTCCAAATCACATTTGTGCCCCCGCTGGACCCTCTCCACTAGCTGCTTGCCTTTCTTATACGTATATATTTCTTTCTTGCCCTGTATATATTTATAATACCCTTTATAGTGATTCTCCTATACATTAGGTCTAAGGGACAGCTTAAAAAAATAAAACAAAACACAAAAATTAAAGTTGAGCCTTAATGAAGTTCCAGCTACCCCAGCACCCTACCACTTACATTTTATTTGAACAGGGATGTGCTGACGCTGCTCTGAAGCAGGCTTACACGGTGCCAAGGCTTGTGAGGGAAAGGTGCTCTGTGCCGGCGGTGTCGGTACAGATAATGATTAATTAAAGGTTGATGATAATTATAAATTACAGGTTGATGTAGGCCCCTGGCCGTTGCYATGGCGGCAGCGGGGTGCAGAGGCAGCCTGGGCCGGCAGGGGGCGCTGCGGGCGGCGGCCGCKGGTCCTTTCCCGCCCCTCGGGCCGGGCCCGCGCTGAGCGGGGCGGGCGGAGCGGCCGTGCCGGGCCCGGGAGCGGCGGAGCGGCGCTGGCGGCCCGCAGGTGAGTCCCGGGGAGCCGCGGGGCGGGATCCGCCCGAACCCCGGCCCCGCCGGGAACTGAGCTGAGCTGTGACTCACGGCCTGGCCCGCGGCTCTCCCSGTGCGGCCCTGGGCCCGGCCCTGTCCCGGGGTCGCGGCCTCGCCCCTTCCCGCGGCTGCCGAGCGGTGCCTTTGCCGCGCTCCCGCCCGAGCTTTCCCGTGCGGCCTCAGCACGTCCCGGGGCCGATCGGGATCCCGTTTCTCGGGGCCCGGGAAAGCGCTGCAATAGAACAGCCCGCCTTGCTGCCCCGCGGTCCGGGCCGTGGAGAAAAAGATTGAGCTTTCCAGCCGCATTACCTGGGGTGACTTGCGGTGTCAGGGCGCTGTAGGTTCTTCCCTTGCAGCCACAGAAAAAGCGAGGGCACTGATACTTCTACATCATGATATAATGTTAAAATCAATGATTTCTCCATCCGTTKAAGTAAAATTTTAGTTCAGGAAATACTTAATCTCGTGATAACATAGCTGATTTGATCAAGGCCCTTTTTCCCCTCCTTTCACCTCCRGTGCATGGCACTGACTTGAGAAATCATGGGCTCGCAAGTGCTCTGCAATTATGGCAACCGACATCACTTTCCTTGTTTGCAACATTTTCTTCTTTAAGACCGYTTGTCCTATAAATAGCTTTTGTTTTGTTTCCAAATATTTTTCTGCTCTTAGGAGCTGCCAAGTGCAGCAAAAGCYTACTAACTTGAGACTAAAAAAGAAATATGCCAGTGCATCCGCCTTACTAATTTTGATGCTCTAAAGCAAAATTAATATCAACTTCTTATGTTGCTTTCCTGCTTCAGTTTCCATAGATTCATTGTTTGTAGTACTTGTATCACTTGTATCTGATTCTCTGGGGTTTTTTATTTTGTGCTAAAGTTTTAAGTGATTTAAGATGCTGTTGTTCCATAGGTGAAAGTCTTCTTGAGCTGATGCATTCACTGTGTTTGGAAGCTGTACAGCCATCATCTTCTTAGCTGCTCTGCTTCCTGATACTGAAGAGTCTAGGAATTTTGGTAAGAGAGCATGCCTTTGTTAGTATTTTAATCATTAAAATTTGTTTCTGAAGGGCTCTGCCTGAGAATCCTGTCTCTGACAGGAAAAAGGGTGCTGGAGAGCAGGCTTGTAGATGATCTTGAATGCTGGCSTACCTGGAGTTCTGACCTGTGTCTWTATGGTGAACCTTCTTTTATTCTAGGGCAGGAATGTGAAACTGGACTTGAGCACTTATTTGCACTTAATGGGTTTTTAACTGTATCAAAATGGGCTGGGAGGCAAGAAGGGGGAAAAAACTGTTGTATTTAATATGCAGATTTTCAAAATGCTTGTGTTGTTCAATAAGGTCTTGAAAGATAAACTAGATACAAGTAAGCCTAATTCTTTAATGTTTTTACTTTACAGTTAATTTAGACTGTTCAAAATGAATGAACATCCTAAAAAGAGGAAAAGGAAGACTCTGCATCCTTCTCGTTACTCAGGTTAGTCTAGAGCTTGAGTTATGTACACTGTAGTAAATTAATCTTTTTTTCTCAGAATAATAACTTTACAAGAAGGGACCACATGTGCCAATASATGGAAAAGCAGTGACATAAAGGGTGGGATAAGAAGTCTTGACTTGAATGGGCAGCACCCACTCTTCGGGCTCCCTTGTTAGGCCACTTTGAGCCAACGCACCTGACCATAAAGGTGATTCTGCTTCCACAGAGGGGAGGAATTCTGTAAAAGTTGGGGTGGGGGCATCCAGAAGTGTTCATGAACTATGCACTTGTCATTGTCCTCAGTGAGAGCAGAGACCTGACACTCCAGACATCAGGGCAGCAGCTGGAGGGTATAAATCCCAACAGGAATGTTGTCAGGTCAGCACAGAATTCTCCCGAAACARCAAGCAAAAATGTGAAGAGAATTTTGATGAGCATGAAATACATCTGTAGCTACAACCAGACACTAGTATTCAAACTTTTTTTGTTGATGTTTTGKTTTAGATTCTTCAGGTGCAAGCAGATACATAGACAACAGTGGAATTTTTTCTGACCACTGCTATAGTGTCTGTTCCATGAGACAGCCGGATACAAACAGAGGTAAGACTATGTTTTGGGGTCTTGTTCTGCAGTTCTTTAATGYGTCATGTTCCTATTCATAGAAGCAAATAGAACATACGATATATACCAGGTGATTTCTGAGCATCACTGTGATCTGATGGGCCTCAGACCAGTGAAAGGTTGTGTAATTGTTACAATTGAAGTACAGTTTACAAAGTAGAAACAATGATAACAAAAAGATCCTTCTATTTTACATTTATAATGRTGATTACATTGTTTCAAATACTCACTACCTAAGTAACAAAGTTGGTGAGTTCAGATGAAATGTACCAGCAATTCCATTGACATGTACCTGGGGAAACAAAATGCCGTTTTATAAAATATCCAGTAGAGGGTGGAAATTTAGCAGAGCAACTGYGGTGGTGGATTTTTAGTTTATATATTTTTCTTTTCACTTTAATAACTTAACCAACAATGCTGCAGAAGCCTTAGAAGGAATTACRTTTTAAAATGCAGTGTCCAGAAGTATTTAATTCTTTTAAGTTATGTCTCTTAAATGTAGCATTTCATTTAGGGATTTTAGTTTTTTTCACTATRATCAGCTTACTATCTTCTTCTGAAAACTTAAAGATAGAGCTAGTACTTTTKGAATTCTTTTGTTAAATAATTTTTGAGGTGTTTATTGTTACACTCTTTAATAACAGTTATGATGTGCTTAGTATGCAGACACATTTATGCAACTAGAATAAATAAATAGTAAATAAGATCTGTGACTAAATCAAGGAATCAGGATGATGCTRGTATGGACTAATGGTGACAAGGAAATGCTTCCCTTACCTTTGCAGGCAGATTCCACAGTCCTGTGCAGAGCCTGGACACAGATGATGATGGCAGTCCAGTGCATGCCGGGAGCTCTCACTGGAGTGGGGCACATTCAAATRCTGGGATGCACTGTACAGACCCCAAAAGGAAAGACAAAGGTAAAGGTCAGTGTGTTTGCAGCTGAGGTGCTGGCAGGCTGGAGAGTATAGTTGCTGGCTTTTCATGTAACTTCCTTGCTTTGACAGAAGAGGTGAAGGATTTATAGTTTCTGGTATTGCTTTGTTAGCTGAAAATACAGTGTAGTCTGGCAGGGGAAAAATAACTGATTTTTTCATTTGAAAGCTGCTGCAGCTGACTGAAAAGTTAAAAATGGGCCCTGGTGCTTTGTAGTGGGTTTTTTTCAACCTTTTATTATGCATTTCCTGCAGAWTGTATTTATGTATTTCCTGCAGATAAAGGTACGAACAATGGAATGTGCAGAGACTTATGTGACTCACCTATATTCAGTGACAGCCCCACAGAAGAAGAGAAACCCCTAGATATCCAAACTGTAGAGATTTCTACAACAGAAGTGAATGCTGTAGAAGTTCATGATATAGAAACACARACTGTGTCACCTGAGAAGCTGGAAGCTGAGGACCTGGAGGAAATCCCTCTGGAAACCTGTAAAATGTTTGAGAAGAATCAGGCTTTGAATATCACAGCTCAACAGAAATGGCCCTTGCTGAGAGCCAACAGCAGTGGCTTGTACAAGTGTGAGCTCTGTGAGTTCAACAGCAAGTACTTCTCTGATCTAAAGCAGCACATGATCCTGAAGCATAAGACATGTACAGACACTCATGTCTGTAAAGTTTGTAAAGAAAGCTTCTCCAGCAAAGTGCAGCTCATTGAACATGTAAAACTACATGAGGAGGATCCGTAYATCTGTAAATACTGCGATTACAAAACGGTGATATTTGAGAATCTGAGTCAGCACATAGCAGACACTCACTTCAATGATCACCTTTACTGGTGTGAGCAGTGTGATGTGCAGTTCTCCTCCAGCAGTGAGCTGTACCTGCACTTYCAGGAGCACAGCTGTGATGAGCAGTACCTGTGTCAGTTCTGTGAGCATGAGACAAAYGATCCCGAGGATCTGCACAGCCACGTGGTGAACGAGCACGCSTGCCGGCTCATCGAGCTGAGCGACAGCTACAACAACAAGGAGCGTGGCCAGTACAGCCTCATCAACAAAATCAGTTTTGACAAATGCAAAAACTTCTTTGTGTGCCAGGTGTGCGGCTTTAGGAGCAGGCTGCATACAAATGTCAACAGGCATGTAGCTATTGAGCACACCAAAATATTCCCTCATGTTTGTGATGACTGTGGGAAGGGATTTTCAGGTATGTTGGAATATTGCAAGCACCTRAGCTCTCATTTATCTGAAGGGATTTATTTGTGTCAATACTGTGAATATTCAACGGGACAGATTGAAGACCTTAAAACTCATTTGGATTTCAGGCATTCAGCAGATTTGCCTCATAAATGTACTGATTGTTTAATGAGGTTTGGGAATGAAAAAGATCTTTTAAGTCATCTTCAGATACATGAGACAGTGTGATTTGCTTTCTTTCCTTGTAATCAATTTGTCAGAATTTGAGTTAATTTCCAGTCACCGAAATGTGATATTAAATACAATTTTAACAGCAATTGTACATTTCTAATGTTTTYGTCTTTATATCARCATGTAYAGCACTTGATGTTGTGAATTTCCYTGTCTAGGGGCTTCAGTAGGAATAATCACATTTAGAGTGYAGTGGATCAGATTTCRSGGGGAGGGACAGTGGGAGTAATTGCATGTTGTGATACAAGTTCTGATGGTCWTCCTGCTCTCTCATGTCTAGTGCACAGGACCAGCTCTGCTCAGTTTAAAAAGGCACAAAAACAAAGCACATAGCTAGTTCCATACTTTAATAACCCAGTACTGGTCTCTGTTCCACATCCAGCTTATGTTACCCTGTGTGGCAGCTGGTCATTGCGCTGGTGTTTAGCAGTAGCACTGGCCTGCCAAAGAGAAGGGTATTCCAAAAATTTCCAGGCATGGGCATCTCCAAATTCAGCCCTCATTTCCCACCTCGTGGTCCTGATAAGCTTTTAAAATTGTCCTGTTCTTCTCTTGTGGTACCTTCTGACCTCACTGTTCACTTTGTTCCATTTTTGAGTCCAGTCTGTGGGACTGTCCAACACATGTATAACACACTCGCACACATGTACTACACAACTCATACATGTTATTCCTTTATTTACCTTCAGTTGTCTTAATGCACTGAGGAGACACACGTTGCTTGTGTTTAGATTAGATCATGTTCTAAAGAGGGATTGCAAAAGGAATTTGCTGAGAATGTGCAAAGTGAATTTCTTACATAAAATCCTAATTTAGCTCTCACTGAAATTATGCATGTCACCAACCTCTGACTAGAGCAAACTTCTAGTAGCGCATATTAYTGTAGTTATTCTGTATATTTATAATTAGCTTTCTTTCACTAGTAACTTGAGGAATGTTATTTTAACTCTGTAAATTTTAAACTTTTATATACTGGCTTAAAACACTGGTACAGTACAAAATCTTTACTAATCACTCTCAAATTATTTAATACATTTGTTTATTTTATATGTAACACTGTCCTGCCATTATAATCATTGGAACTGAATTTTTACAGTTCATTCTGTAGCTGTATTTTTGAGTGGATATTTGGACAGATAAAAACAAGAATGTGGTCACGTAGATTATGCTACATATCAGGGTGGAAATACCCATAAATTACTGGTGAAGTTTACATTTCTTTCTTTGATTGTAAATTTTTAATGTCAAATTGTCTAATGCAAGCTTTRTACAGAGAGAATTAATGTATCAAAGAGTTATTGATCAGTAAGATTTGGTGTTAATCAGCTTCAAGGTGTACAAGGGTCTTTGGATTTGATTTTTAAAGCTAAGGATAAAACTTGGCTGAATGTWATCAATCAATGGAAGTTCTGATTTCCAGAGAAGCATTTCTGGAAAGTCTATGAGCCAATTAGTGTATATTTCGTTGTAGGAAGCAAGACCATTTCTGTCACTTTGAGGTGCTGATTTWCTACTAAGTCTTGTGTTTTATCATTGAAAAGGGCAACCTSAGGGTGTCCTGCTGTATTTTATCAGTCCCTTSTATTGAGAATGACAGTATCTGTGGTAGAATTGCTTATTTCCTTTTATAAACGTATTATTCTGGCTGACTTTAAATGGTAGCAATAATATAGTTAACAAAACACTAAGAAGAATTATTTTATATATGGAAAGTTATTTTGGTCGTATATCTGAAAGGGGGATTGCTGGTTATCTGAAAACTCTTCTCTGGCTGATGGCACAGAGGTGAATTGGCACAGCTGAGCTCTGGAGTTAAAGCTGCTCTGGGAAGAGACAAGAAGTGGAAAAAAGGCTTTTAGAAAACCCCAAAAATAAATAAGGGGACTTAAGAAGTGTGTATATTTGTGTAGACCAACATTGTGTCCCCAGCATTCCAAGCAGAAGCTATGCAAAATCATGTGATTGATTTTGTATTTGGGCAAAATCTGTATTTGATTCTTTGCTTTTCAGATTTTTGAACCCTTAGGTTCAATGCGTGACTCAATTTTAGGGGTGTTTTCCAGTCTTAACAAATAATGTGTTTCAGGTTCCTGGATTATGTTTCTTATTGAGCAAAAGAACTTTTTCTATGTGAGAGACTGTTGACTTCAAAACGAATTTTACATCCCACAAAATTACTGCAAGAATTTATAATGCAGCGGATTAGTAATCCTCAAATAATGCGTTCTATAGAATGTTGTCACCGATTTTCATTGTGGCTGTGATGCTCCTGTATCAAGTGCATGAGGTGTCGGTGCTGTTTCGCTCCCGAGAGCTCGGTCACTGTCYCTTTTCCACACGGTGATGAAAGGCGCTGCCATGGCCTCATCCCGGCTGATGATGGCGGCGCTTCCCGCCTCTCCCGGCTCCATTTCGCGACCGCCCGCGCTCAAGATGGCGGCGCCGCCCTCAGCCCGCACTGAACATGGCGCTGCCCGGGCGCCGCGGAGCCTCCCGGGGTCACGGGAGGCGGAAAGGGAAGTGACGACGGCCCCCCGTCCCGGCGGCGGCGGTGACGGGCACGGCCGGGACCAGCGGGGCTCCGTGAGGGACAGGGGCCGGCACCGGGAGCTCCGTGAGAGAGCGGGGCGAGCGGGGGCACTGGGGTTGAGCCGGGGCTCCGTGAGGGACCGGGAGTTCCGTGACGGACTGGGGCTGATCCAGGGCTCCGTGCGGGACCGGGACCAGCGGGGCTACGTGAGGGACAGGGGCTGGCACCGGGAGCTCCATGCGGGACCGGGGCGAGCGGGGCTCAGTGGGGGACCGGGGCCGAGCCAGGGCTCCGTGAGAGACCGAGGAGACCGGGGGTTCCATGCGGGACCGGGGCCGAGCCAGAGCTCCGTGAGAGACCGGGGATACGGGGAGTTCCTGACGGACTGGGGCCGAGCCGGGGCTCCATGCAGGAGCGGGGCTCAGTGGAGGACCGGGATTGAGTCAGAGCTCCGTGAGGGGCCGGGGAGACCGGGGGTTCCATGACGGACTGGGGCTGAGCCGGGGCTCCGTGCAGGACCGGGGCCGAGCCAGGGCTCCGTGAGAGACCGGGACTCAGCCGGGACTCCGTTAAGGACCGGGGCTCCCTAGGGCTCCATGCGGGACCGGGGCCGCCGCGGCCCCTCAACCTGGCGGGGCTCCGTGAGGGAGCGGGGCCCGTCCTCGCTGGCCATCGGGACCGTGCTGACCTGCGGGTTGTGGGGAGGCGGGAGCTGTGTTTGATGAGGGAAAACACTCGTGTTTCCAGGATGGATCGCACCAGAGGGGTTCGAACCTGACCCCGAGCTCTGCCAGCCGCTCTTGGCACCCCTAATGAGGGGAGGAGATCAGAGTAAACAGCGCAAACTGAGCTTAGTGCCCTTTGGAGTTTAGAGCTTTGGGCGCTTTTGTTTGATTTTGTTCTTTTAATGGCTGTGTGAACGRTGTATGACTTTGAATTATCTGGGTGTACCGAATGTTTTGGTCACKTTTGTGCCTYTTTCCTTGCAGCAGCAGCATGGCAGAAGCCTCTGTCTCTCCACTGAAGCACTTTGTGCTGGCCAAAAAGACCATCACTGCCATTTTCGATCAGCTGCTGGACTATGTTACTGAGGGAGCAGCATTTGTGGAAGGTGAGCYTTCCCCTTTAACACAAGGGCCTTGTCCTTTGCTTTGAGCATGTTTTACAGCAGCATAATGTAAATTATGTTCTCTATTATTGTGCTGTTTGTATAAACATGGGCCTTCGGAAACAGTCACATTTTTCATTTGACACTGGGGTTTTTTTCAACTTGTGCTGGAAGGAATGCCTGGCATGGCTGCATACCTGAAAAGCTGATTAAGTCAGTTGGATTGGCAGCCTGGCCTCCTTTCCATGAGAGTGAAAGCTTAACCACTCTGGACTGATAGTTGTGTGGTGGTTCCTTTTGCAAAGRGTGAAGGCAGGAAAACAGGTTCTCCCATTTTTCAGCAGAAGGGTGCATCAGTGGTGCAATGCTAGGAACCTACYGGTCACACCCTCATAAGTTTTAGTGGTGAGGAAACTTGTGTGGCCACACAGAGCTGGCTGCTCATCACCCCAGTGGGGGGAAGACAGCCCAGGTTAGCTGGTGTGTCCATGAGAYRTCCTGGCTTTCCTTTCTGAAGGAMACAGGTGGCCCAAAGAACCAGGGAAGTGAGCACAACAGGCTCACAGGTTTGCTGTATCAGCAGTTGGATTGGTGATTGATCTGAAGTGATTTATRTCATGATTTCACCAGTGCTTGTGGTAGAGCTRTCAAATGGTAAGGGCTGGTATCAGTGTCTGTGGTGTGGTTTTGCTTGTTTTGTTTTWCCACTGTAATTAAAATTTGCTCAGGTCTTTGTTGGCATGTGAAGTACTGATAACTTACACCTTGTATCATGGAGCACATGCTCTGTGTGACTGCTTTTATGTTTTTCATTTCTGTGTGTAGCCACATACAAGAACCCAGAGCTTGAACATATAGCAACAGAAGATGAACTAGCAAAAATACAAGCATATAAAAACAAGCTGGCAGTCATTGGAGAGGTGCTCGCACGGAGACATATGAAAGTGGCATTTTTTGGCAGGTAATGAATGGAATTACCAGAACTTAATTTCTTTTTTTTTTTTTTTTTTTTTTTTGGTCTTGGGAAGGTCTGAGGTTGTCATCTTCTCCAGAATGGTTTTTGGGCTTTTTTTAAAGTGGTGGTTTTGTTTGTTGAACTTTTTTTTTCTGGATTATTCCTGCTGAGAACTTGTGTTTGTATTTGGTCAGAAGTGCTGAAGAGCTAATCTTGTAGCTGTTCATGTTTCTGTCTACAAGCAGCTGAAGAAAAACAGAGACAGTTGCCTGGTTGGTTKTAACATCAGTCTGATAGATCTGTTTGAGATTATTTTAAGGATATCAATAACAATATGATCTGCTAGTCCACTTTGCTTCAGGGAGATTAATTTTTCTATGCTTCCGTTTAAACATGTAGCTACATATTTTTGGAGTATGAATCTTCATGCTTCTAAAAATTCTGTAATAGTATTGGAAAAAATGGGTACAATGGTGGTCTTGCCTTTATTTTGCTATAAGTATAGTTATTTAAAGGAAATCTATAAAAGGCTCTGGAATAAAGAAATCAGTAATATCCCAGCCTTGATATTTCAAAAAGTTAAAAGTTTTTTAAGTTTTAACTGTTAACAGTCTGTGATGTGGGATAGAAGTTGCTTTTGCAAAAGGAAAAAGTTCAGAGCAGGAAAAAGAGAACTGAACTCCCCCTCTGGCATTTTGAATTAATTTGTGAACTGTTKTGCAGTGTGCACTGAACTTTTTCTGGAAGTAGCTCAAAAATGAGTTACAGTCTACGTAACTTCATGCTGTTGTGTAATCGTTGAATCTCAAATAGTTATGGGTGAGGGGTAGAGGGTTAGTGCAAAGTAGAACACTGCTTAGGACTTCAGTTCTTGCAGAATACGGAGCTGGTGACCAGTTCCTGTGAATGAGCACTCCCCGCTCTCTTCTGGCCAGGTGTGCTGGACTGGCTGGAGCTCTGGGCCCCAAACAGCTTGTGCTCTGTGGGGGTTGGTGCACTCTGCTGGGGGTGCATTCAGTTCTGCACAAATGTGTGTTTAATGCTGCTGTGCTCTGCTAAAAGTACTTTTATTTTTCATCTCTCTAGAACAAGCAGTGGGAAAAGTTCAGTCATTAATGCAATGCTGTGGGATAAGGTACTTCCCAGTGGGATTGGCCATACCACAAACTGCTTCCTCAGTGTGGAAGGAACTGATGGAGATAAGGCTTACCTTATGACAGAAGGATCAGATGAAAAGAAGAGTGTCAAGGTACATTTCTTGGATGCATGCCAATTTTCACAGGAACTGATTCTCAAAGGGTCTCTTTTTAACATCAATTCAAGTCCAACAAAAATATAAGGCTCACTCATTCTGCATTTTTAAGTTCTTATTTAGGAGGGAAGAACAAACTAATCAAAGTCCTACGCTTCGCAATTTTTTTTGGCCTTTCCAGAGAAAGAGCTATCATGTGTCTCATTGTAGTACAGCATATGTTGAGTGATTCATTTTTATAGGATTAAGTAAGTTCTGTTACTGATTAAGGATTTGGAATGTGCCCCTTATTTGGACTTATGGTGCTTATTGAACTGCTTATGCTGTTATGTTACCTCTGAGGCAAATTCATGATGATGCTCAGTAGCACACAGTCCAGCCCTGTAGGGAACATTTGTGGCTCAAAAAAAACTCTTGTRCGAGTTTCAATGCACAACTTGTTCTTTAGATGGTGGTGAGTCAAAGAGCTTAAAAAAAAAAAAAAATCACAACTATTCACCAGAACAAACTATGAACTCTGTTACCCTCTTCAAGGTAGATCCTGTCCAAGTTTGCTTGAGAACTGAATTAGATTTGTTTGAGATGCATATTCACATTTGTTTTCTCTTTATCCTCTCTCTAGACAGTCAATCAGCTGGCACATGCACTTCACATGGATAAAGATTTGAAGGCTGGCTGTCTGGTCCATGTCTTCTGGCCCAAGTCAAAGTGTGCCCTGCTGAGAGATGATTTGGTTTTAGTGGACAGGTATCTTCTCTGTTTTAATAAATGTTTTCTTAAGGAAATTAGCCATTATAACTAGAAAAGTAAKTGGTTTAGATTCAACATTATTGAAAAGCTTTTTTGTTTGAAAGGACAGAGTTTATTCTTTTGTATATACTGCTTGTCATTACCCTCCTGATTCTGCCCTTGTAGCAGTTAGAACAGACAAGTGTCTTGTGACTGAGCTGAAAAAGGGAAAAGCTTTTGGCTGAGGATACACTACCTTTAAAACAAACAGTATGGAAGTGTGAATAGGGTTGTTGCAGCAACAACCTTTTGCCCATTTCCTTTCTCGAAATGCTTCAGACTGATCATGTGAAGTATAAACAAAGTGGATTTCATTTTTAGGAGCTTCTGATAAAGAGTTGCTGTGCCTACATACCAAAGTAATGGGTGACCTCAAAATGTGGTTGTGACCATGCCAGCTGTGTGTGCCCTGTCTTAGGCTGGCATTTCCTATGTGTTTAAAGAAATGGTTGCTTTGTCTATGCCAAATGCCGTGGTTTCTGGCCACTGCAGTATAACCTGGTAATAGCTTTCCAGACTTTTAGGTGTTCTGTACTTAAATTGTAAGTCAATAAATACTGAATTTGAGAGTAATTCCCATAGGTGTCAGTGAATTTTTAAGAATGATTTGTTCAACAAAACAACACTTTATAGTATACTCCTATACTATTAGGAGTATATTCTAATAAATTGCAGTAGTTTTTGTTCCACCTGTGTCTTGTACTTTGAAATCACTGGGAGTTTGTCTTTATTTTCTTGGATGCATGATTTAATCTGCAGTTTCAGTTRCTAAAGGTAAAAAGTAAAGGGAAAAGAGCATAGATTCAGATGCTTGGATAGAGCAAATCACCCCTTTACTGTTAAATTGAGAAAATTTGAACCAGCAATAATTTAGGTGTTGCAAACATGATTTAATGCTTTATATTCCACTTTGTGGGTTTTTTAAAAATTGACAGCACTGTAGTTTAAACTTCATTTTGATTTCKTAGTAAATCCAGGTTGCACAGGTTGCATAGTATATTGCTTTAGACTTGGACTTTACTAATGAATAAAAAATTTATGARCAACTGTCTCTTCTGATTAAAATTAGGATCCAAGGAGGGGAACCATTGTTTGAGGTTATCTGGGTTTCTGATGGACTGCCTGTCACTTCACTTGGCAATTACATGTGCATACTTACTAATCAGAAATTGCATTTTGGAATGAGTTGGTGGCATCATGATCAAGTGACTGATAAATTGTAGATGGTAATTGGCTTTTGCAGTGTTTRTCTTAAGTTTGAGGTAGGCATCAGCCTCAATATACAAACCTCTGTGACTTCTTGTGAGGCCTTTAGGCATTTCCACTCTGTTTTTATCAGTTTATAAAAATCAACTTCTTTGCTGTGTAAATAGGAGTTTGTGTTTTTTGTTCTCGACAGCCCTGGCACAGATGTCACTACAGAACTGGACAGCTGGATTGACAAATTCTGCTTAGATGCTGATGTGTTYGTCTTGGTTGCCAATTCTGAATCAACTCTCATGAACACGGTATGATGTGCAATGGTTTTATGCTACTTCTTCATTTAAATATTCAGCAATTCCATAACCAGAATAGCTGAGACCTTTACAGAAAGTTAATCACTGCACTTAGATCTTGTGAATAGGATTTGGGGCTGGGAGGCAAGAAATTACATATATCYCTCACTAGGAAAAGGAGAAGGAAATTTAAATTTCTTACTGGTTTGACTTTCTCTGCCTTGAGTGTCCTAATTGTCTGTGGCTTTATCTTCTCTTCTACGTCACAATTGACACTTTTTGGCTTCTAGTATGGACAAAATCTAAATAAGTTGTTTACCTAAYGTGTATAGCAGTTTCTGGGGTTTTTTAATTAAAGGAAAAAGTTTTTAAATTTTGTTTCAGTGAACGTCCCATTGCTATGTAGATAACATAAGTCATCCTGCAAATAAAGCATATGACAACTGTTCTTATCCTCCTTAAGCATTATTTTTGCCTCTTACCTTAACAGGTTTGAGAATATTTTGCATTATTCTGCTACATTACCAGAGATTTTTTTTTTGTGAAAACGTGATTCTTCTACTATTCCCTCATCAATTCTCCTTAGGCAAAGTTTTGATTTCTGCAGYAGTGATCTTGTTTGCACTTGCTTACTCCCAGCTGATGGAGTATAATGGCTCTCCAGTGCTGTGTCCAGGTCGTGGTGTCCTGCTGCAGACTGGAAAAGTTTATGGCAACCCAGAGATTTCTTCTGTTTCACTTTGCTGAGTGGGGACTCTTTCCATCACGACTTACCCATTATGACTTTATAAACTGCAATAATGGGTTCTAGGTGCAGGCAAGAGACCTAAATACACTTTAATTTTGTTAAATTCAGACATTCATCAATGACTTTGTTTGCRGTGTCTCAATCATATGTCTTCATGCAGGAAATGTTACTTCTCTGTAGTTCAAGCTGATGTTGCTGAACTGAAGAATAGTTAGTGTAAAACCAGATCTGACAGGAGAATCTTGGTAGTTCAGATAAGGGAGACTTCAGTGTTTTAATCAGGCATCAGTTTCTTGAATTTATTTGTACAAACTTCTAGAGAAGTTGCACTGTCTTTGACTTTTAGCACTGGTGATGGTTTTAAGACATTTGATGACATTTGAACTACCTAAGCCTGTATATCTGTGGGTTTTAATACAAATGAATTATTTTTAATCAACTTTTAAAAAACTGGATAAACTTCTAAATCTGTTACAGAAGAATATGTGACTGGTTTAGATGTCTGGGGAGTTTTCTGTTTGTGCTTTAATTCTTAGGAGAAACATTTTTTCCACAAAGTGAATGAACGACTTTCCAAGCCAAACATCTTCATCCTCAATAAYAGATGGGATGCCTCTGCATCAGAACCAGAATACATGGAAGATGTGAGTGAACTGATGCCTCTTGTATGGGTTGGCAGTTAATTAATGGTATGGAAACACAAGCTTTGTCTTATTAATGAAAGGCTAAGTTACATGGTCAGAAAATGGAAACAAGTTATTCCTTGTTCCAAGCAAAAAGAAACCTGTAATTCAAATGACAGTATGTGCAGCCAAGTAATGGGAAAATTCTTTAGAACTTTTTATCCCCAACAGTTAAGCTTGTTTTTAATCTTATTTATATTACCTTTTATTTCTGCAGTGATAATGCAGCCTGAGGGCACAGTTTATACAGTTATACCTCTTAAGTGCAGTGTTAGATGGGAACAGTTTGGATCTTCAGATCTTCCCAACAGCAGCTAGCTTGCAGTGAGAATTTCTGTGTACCCCAGTAACTGGCTGAGATCTCTGAACTACATAAATGCAGTTGTATAAGGAAATATTGTTGCATCCCGCTCTGTTTAAAGGAGTTAAAGCAGCTGCTGCCTCTGTAAGATTGGCAGGCATCTGCTGTCAGAGAGGTGGTTCAGCATCTGTTTCTGACTCTGATGTTGTGATTTGTTGACAGCTTAATTTTTACCTTTTTTGATGAGCTTTTTACCTTTTCCTTAGGTGCGTAGGCAGCACATGGAGCGCTGTCTGACTTTCCTGGTCGATGAGCTCAAAGTTATTGATCCTGCAGAAGCAAGAAATCGCATCTTCTTTGTTTCGGCAAAAGAAGTTCTGAGTGCCAGGAGACAAAAGGCCCAAGGAATGCCAGAGGATGGTGTGTAGGAACCCCTGCTTTTCCTCAAATACAGAAAAACACTATAAAACCTGATAAATATATTTAGGATGCAGTCCCTKCTGTCTTCCTTATGATCTGTTGTTTCTTAGGTGGAGCACTTGCTGAAGGATTTCAGACAAGATTCCAAGAATTTCAACATTTTGAGAAGATATTTGAGGTATTTATGAGGAGCTTTTTAGATTGCCTGTTTTTATTGCAAAGGTAGCTTTTTCTTATGCTTAGCCTAATGCTACTGAGCATTACCAATAGCAGCAAGTGGAKGAGTGTAAGGTATTTAAACCATCTGCAGCTTTGCCTTTTCTGTGGATTCTGTTCATACCTTCTCACCTTGAGTAGGTGAGCAGGTAGTTGTTGGAAAGGAGTGTTATTCAGTGAGGGGAGGGACCAAAAGTTATAGCTTATGTTTTGAGATCTCAATACCAAAATAGTCTGTATAAGAAAAAATTATGGTCTTGAAATGTGCATATCACTTCTAGCTATATTGGTGAATGTTTGCAGTAAGAAACTCAGTTTCATCATCGTAAATCTAAAAATTTACTTTAATTTCTAAAGCCAGAGTTTTGAATCTATCACCATTACGTACCTCTTAGCTCTGTTWCTCTGAGCACTAACACTGTTCTTGAATCCTTTGTGCTGTACAGAATCCACCCTTCCACCTCAGTTTAGCCATATTCATAGTTGGAGTTCACAGTTTCTACAGAAGTAGGACTGGYTAGACAGTTGAGTGATTTCTTTGTGATAGGATCCATCTGACTTGATTTGATAACTTCAATTAATAAAAGCCATTCTTGGATATCTTAAGGAGGCCTCTTTGGTCTGCCTCAGTGGTTTTGTGTATGAGTATTTAAAAAAAAAAATCTAACTACTTCTGAAAAGTATTTCTTCTTGCATTACAACAAACCCATCTAACCCTAGCAAAACTGAGTTATGTAATGATGTGTGTGAATATCAGAAAAGTTTTAAAATAATAGCTTGGTTCAGTCTTGCATAAGCAAGAAAATGTCAGRCTAAATTTAATCCTTATCCACACTCTTAAGATAGGTGACTGAAGTGTTGAAATGATGGGTCCTGGCAAGCCCTGGCTCCATGAGATATGACATTTCTTGTGTCACTAGCTACTAGCTACTACATGTTGTAGTTGAACATTTAAGTTTGTTTGCAATTTTTTGCCTCAGAATTATAGTAGGAAACTTGGAGCCAGCAGGAAAAAAAGTGTAAATTAAGCTTCTCAATGAGTTATTGTCCTTTAATGTATTTTGCCATCTTCTGTACCCAAAGCTTTTTTTGGCATAATCTCTTCTTATTACAGTTAAACACTCAATGCTTAGAATATTTCAATATGAAGATGRATGATGGCTTATTAAATGATGTGGTGCTGTGAATGCTCAGCACATCTGTAAATCAGATGTCACAGACAAGTTGGCCACCACAATGAGAAATACCTATCACAAGATCACAATCATGACAGTTTCTGTGGCAGAGGCTGGGACAAGGAGTAATTCTGTGACAGCACTCTGTGGCCTTAAATAAACCTTTTTTCTTCTTTCACAGTGTGTTATATTTGCTACACACCTGACTCCAACAGTGAGAGTAGATTCTGTAGTGTTCTTCCCAGCTCAGCTGTGTTTCATCCTAAAATAATTATTAATGGCTTTGGATAGGAGTGTGATCCCATCATTTRAAGAGAATGACAACTGTGCTGAGTTAAGACTGCCAAACCAATTTAAATTTTGAGCACTTGCTGTTGCAGTCTCTTTCACATACAGGTTTTGTGGCAGTTTCCTAAGTTACAGTGGCAGTTTGTGTGCTTTTAAAGCAAGGCTGATACTTAAATGGTTCACCAGGTCTGAAGTCTTCAGACCCAATACTCAAATTWCTGTCACCTGGGCTGATAATGTTGCTGACATCAGCATGCTGTTGTCATCAGTTCTGCTTGCCAGCTCTAGGATCTGTATTAATGAGGAATATCATATTTCAGGGAGAACATTCTGTGTGAAATCCTGATACCGTGCCTTGTGCACTGCCAGACCAAACTCAGATGCTGTACAGCCTAAGCACTTCTGCCTAAAGCATTTTGCTTTTACTCTGTTTCCTGACAGAGGAGCTGCAAGCCCCAAGACTCTTGGATTACACTCCAGTGTGTGAAAAGGAAGGGATGAGAGCACAGAGGATTCTGTCTGTCCTCATCAAACACTGACTCCTGCTCTGCCTCAGTCTGTCTGTCGTGCCTTTAGCTCCTTGCCCTATGCAGGTGCCCTGCTCAGACTYCCCAAACATCTCTCAGTTTTTTGTCCAGCTCATGTTCCCAAGTWATCTGTTACCTTTCTTACAGACCTGTTCACGTGCCATGTTCCCCCTGGCTATTTCTGCTGGGTTTGCTCCTCCTGTGTTCTCTCACTCTGCTTTTGTCTTCACTGAAATTGGACAGCTTTTTCCTCTTTTCCATATGGGCTGAGAAGAGGAACTGTTACTTCTCCAGTACTTCCACATTTCTGATTTTAGTATCAGTTCCCTGATGGGAAAGCGTGTTCATTCCAGGACTGATAGAAGCTCAGTATAAATAAGAGTCTTTAAAAAAAATCTAGAAACAACCCACCAGTGCTAGCTAGTTGTGATACAAGAAAAAAAAAATGGGCTGTTTTTGAAAGGCTTGTAACTGCTTTTCTGTAGACTTTTGTGTGAGGGCCAAAATCATTCTAAAACTAGAATAAACATGTTTGTCTGCAAAGCATGGGCTATTTAAAGTTGTTAAAAGAAAAACTGGTGCAGGCATTACCAGAAACATTTGTAAGTAGTGGGAAATTAGTGTGTTAAAAGATTCCTGTACCTAGTTTTAAAGAGTGATGCTACTATGTATGYCAGCTGCATTGCAACAAACAAGAGGAGAGAGGCAGTATTGAAGCATTGAATTCTTGATCAATTCTAAATTTTATTCTGAGGAATAACAAAAAGTAGACAATTTATCTCCTGAAATTTTACAGAGAGGTACATAGAAATGTCTTATTGAAACAGCAARGAAAAGTCTGCACCCTGCATTGTGTGCAGTGCTTAGTGGATATCCTACATAAAGCCAACACCACCATGCCTTAGGTTGKGGTGCTTCTCAAGTTTCTTAAAAATACTGTCAGTGGAAGTGGTGTGGGAATTAGTGGAGGAGAGAGGCAGGGGGAAGAGTACTACTGACTGTAAATGGGATTGAGGGCAGAGGCAGAATGAGGCAGCTGCTGCAGAGCCCTTCCCCAGCACTGCCTGGGCATGGAATACAGAACATGATGGGCACTGAACGACTGTCCTGCCATACTGGAAGTGGGCTGGAAGGTAACTGGTTTTGGTTAGACTGTTGAAACAAATGTGTAACTTTGTTTCAGTAAATACTTACAGACCAACAACAAAACTGCTGCTGTCCTCCTCTTATCTTTCCCTGTGGTTTAACTAACCTTTGTGTTTTTCCTAGTGCTTTAACTTGGATTTTCTGATTGTGTTGTGAGTGACTGTCATCCTTTTATCTACCACATACTAAYGCTGGGAAGACTCTTTGCTCTGTGACTAGTCTAGCTCTTACAATGTGCTGATATTTAAGAAACTCTGGCCTTTCATTGCTGATTTCTAGATCTGCTTCGTCGAGGAACAGGGAATATTTAAACCATTTTGTTTATTTTTGTTTTCATCTATTATTTTTAGATAGCTGAAACTTGTTATTACACCATATGCTAAGGCCATAGGCAAGTCTTCTAAAAGCAGTTCAAACCTGTGCCATTAAAGGTGAATCCACAGATGGAGAACAATTTAAGAATCCCTTAGATCTGGTTTAAGGAAATCAACTGCTTGCTTTTTTCCCCTCAAACACAAGATCTCTTTGGTTACTGTCCTGTRTTTCTGAATTGCTGTTCAATGTAGCAGATTGATTAGAAATTGTATCATTAGAGCATTTTGTACTGACTTGTTTAATACTTCAGTAATGTGCAAAGAAACTGATATTTTAAGGACTACTTAACTTTGTTTATCCCGTGAAAAAAMCCCTTTTTTCTTATTCCTAATTATGTGTTTGGATGGTCAGTATTGACATGTGAATATCAAATTTTATTGACAGAATTGCTTCTTGAAACTAAGACTGTAGTGCAATAAAGAAAAGTCAAGCCAGGCCATATTGCCAGCATTCATATTTGACATTTGTAATTCAAAAAATGGTTTTGAAAATTTCCCAAATAGATAGATTTATCTTATGTATTCATTTGAGTTTTCTTTTTTTTTCTTTACATTGTTCATTTATTTTTAAAGAATGAAAACCTATACACATTACTGTGAATGAACATGAAGGCAGATTTGCTGCTACAGACTCATTTGAGATTTCAGTTTCTGTTGTCTTTTAATTTCTCTATACTTTCTCCCTTTTTACTTCCCACTGGTTTAAGTTCATGGTAGAATTGGCAGCATGTGCTTTCTGAAATTCCTGAATGTGTTGGCATGGAATTGCAGTAATGTGTTGTGGCTTGGGCCCCTCGCAGGAGTGTATCTCGCAGTCAGCCGTGAAAACCAAGTTTGAGCAGCACACTATCAGAGCTAAACAGATAATAGATACTGTGAAAAACATTATGGACACCATAAACGTGGCAGCAGCAGAGAAAAGGTAGGTGGGTTGGAGGGCTGGTTGGCTTTGGTTTGTCCAGATCATCTGCGGAGCCAGTTTTGTGCTGGTGATTTTCCTGGGCCATCRTGGACTGTAAAGTTCACTTTTTCTGCTTGGTAAGAAACAGACAATTTCTGTGGTGTGTCAATATGTCAGTTTTTCCATTGTTYACGTGCCCACTCAGTTGTGTTCTTGGTCTATGACTTCTGTACAGGGGTCTTGGTTTGCTTTGTTGTTCTTCATTACTGACTTAAAGTTGCGTTTTCAAACCTTTTTTCAGAAATATTTAAAATTGTAAGTTTTTCTAGCTGTATCCAGCATTTCAGAGGTAATGTTTGGACCTGCTTTACTTTTATGAACAGTATCACTGAAGGAAAAAATAGGAGGATGTAGACACTTTAATTTGCAAGTGATTAGAATACTGTGAGGAATGAGATGAGCTAACAGAGGCTTGGCCTCTGGCCCTTTCCAGATTGCATCCTTAAATATCTGTATTCTCTCTTTGCTCGTGTAATCCTTTAGTGCTAATGATAGCAGCTCATCTGCTCTGTCTGGTAGTTTCATGTATCCTCTGAGATTTGCATATGTGTGGTGTTTTTTCTCACTTTTGTTGCCTCCTTGTGTTTCTTGCACACAGTGAACTTGCTGTCACAACTAATCCTTCCCATCCATCTCCTTCCTGCCTGTCAATAATGTATCTTTATGTTTCAACAGACTTCACTGCACTGTCAAACACACTCATTCCCCTGAATATGTCAGTTTTACAGACTGCCTGTTTACATACTGACTCGTCTCACGTTGTCAGATCCCATGAAAACATGCTGTGAAACGTTTGAAAATATTCTGATATTCTACTTCTTTCTGTCAATTGACTTAAGCAAAATGTCTGTGGTGACCCCTCTTAGTCTGAATTGCTATTYGTTGTTTCTGCTGGCCCTTCAAGATGGAATTTTGATTTTCTGGAATTTTTGCTTAAGTGATAGGTCAAACAATTTTAAAGAGACTTGTTTGTGACAAGGTTGCTTTCTGCCATGTCCCCTTTGCTTTGTTGGGTTATCAGACCCACATCACTGTTAAGSAGTATTTGAGTGCCATTTGTGAGCAGCAGTTTGATCAGATTTACCCTTTTTTTAAAATCAGGGTGGACAAGTTGTTAAAGGCCCCTGATTCCCCATGCCTTTTTTTAGTTGTAATTATGTACAATGATAACAATTCGAAATGCTGGTATTGAGTTGTGTTTGCTCAGCCCTTCTGAAGCAGTGCCTCTGCTTTGGGCAGCCACTGTCATTTGGGATCCCCCTGGCTGCTCAGAAACCATCAGCTGGATGATCCACACCAGCTTTTGTGGATCTTCCCTGGGAGAATACATACTGGTGATGGTGATTTCCTTTCTGCTGGGTTAGAGTCCATTCCATGGAAGAGCGAGAAGATCAGAAGGACAGGCTGGACTTCGTTCGAAATCAGCTGAACATTTTGACAGAAGATACCAAGGAAAAAATCAAACGCGTTACAGAGGAAGTCGAAAATAAAGTAAGTAAAGGCTGTGGGAACTACTTCCCAGATCCAAGTGTTGCCTTATCTCTCAGGCAGCTCCTTTTGGAGCCCACACATCTCAGCAAGTATGTTTGAAATGTCTAGAATATTCATTTTTCAATATAAAAAAAAGAGAAAATACAAGCTTAAAATGACAGTCTTTCCTGACTGTCTGTTGATTGAACCATTTTTTGGGACTGTTCATGTAGTAGTCTGTTCTCACTCTGTCTGGGAAAGGTAGCAGAAATATTTTATGTATTTCCTGTATTCTTCCAGGTCTCCTCTGCCATGTCTGACGAGATTTGCCGGCTTTCAGTTTTAGTTGATGAATTTTATTCCGATTTTCACCCTTCTCCTCAAGTGTTGAAGCACTATAAGACGGTAAGTTTTCTTTCATGGTTTGAAGCCAGGCTCTTTGTCTTTCCCTTAATTTCTACTTCTCTATTTTCATAAACTGCACAGATTCTATGTGATTTTGTCTGAGCATTGCAGGATTTCTGCTTTCTGAAGTGTGCATATCTCTACCGAGAACAGAAAAAGGCTGAAAGTATTCTCTGCTTTTGGAGTTTTTGGAAAGAARTTAATTTTTGTTTCCACCATCTTTGTAGTAGTAGAGCAGCTCTTAATTTRTTTGTCTTCACTTCYAGTACATGAAGACSTTACATAARTAATTTTCATTACTCCTAAAATCAAACAGATCCAAAAGTAAAACTAGCTTACAAATACCCAACGCTTTTAATAAAAACCATTTAGATTTTTTTAACTTCTGTGAATTCCTCCTYAAACTTAGTGCTTTAAAGGCACATACAACAGTGTTTACCTCTTATGCTCAGACATTTGCCTCGTAATGATGACTGCCATAGCTCCCACCTGGAATTACAGACTGTTCTGAGYTGGATGTGACCCATGCTTTTCTTCCCATTGCAAATAACGGTGCTTAGTGTGTAACATATTCCTGCTCCACATGATATAACTGATTAGCTAAATACAAATTGTTGAGCTTGTGTTCTTTGTAAAACTTCAGGAACTGAACAAACACATAGAAGACGGTTTGGGAAAGAACCTGGCTGAGCGCTGCTCCACTGAAGTCAACCAGTCCATTCACCAGTCCCAGCAGGAGATAATTGGTAAGAGGAGGGAGGAGAAATGTTAACAGTAACACTGAATGTTAACAGAAACACTTTACATTTAAAGGAAGACAATCTTAAGAAAATTCGGTTTTAAAATTCTTTTACTCATGCTTAACATTGATGCTATAAATGATGAAGGAAAAGCCATCATAGACTGAGTGTTWAGCTCATTCCCCTGTTTCTGATATTAACCAGTAACAGATGCTGGGGGAGAAGAATGAACCAGGGTAAATATAGCAATCCCTCTCCCTTTTAGGGACTTCTGAACTGACACACTGCATCTGGATTAATGGCCTAAGCAAGTRGTAATGAACCTGTCCTCTGGAAACTCATGTAATCCTTTCATAAACCCATTTAAAATTTGGCTTCCACAAGAGATACACTAAGTACTCTAATTATTAAAAAATGTTCTGCAGGAAAATGCTCTCCCGAGGTCTCTCCAGACCCAGAATGCAAAACAGTTCATTTCACAAAGGATTTGTGCACTATCCTTTTTTTTTTTTTTTTTTTTTCTTTGTAAGTAGTAACTTTATTACATGTCCATCTCTATTGATCTGTTCCTGGTAATAAAAGATTCAGAGCAAGATCATGAAATTACGTGAACCTTTCTGCACTCTTACRTGATAATATTGCCTTTTTTGTATGRCACCACAGAACTGATGGATAAATCAGTTTTTTTTCTTACTCCATCCTTATCCTTTGACCATTGATAGAGGTCTTTCAGTTAGTTTGCCTCTTTTTTCCAGCAGTGCTTTCTCAGTGAGTTGATTTTCATGACTGTTTTCTTGTATCAGAGCAATAAATTCCCTTCCCTGTTAGGGTCAATCCTGCTGAAATGCCACTGATTTTACAAATAAGTAAATAATGAACTGGTCAGTTTAGATTCTCTAAATTGACAAAGCTGCTCAGCAGTGCCAGGATGCTGTTTGTGAATATGCTCTTCTTGTAATATTAACTCACTTTTACTATTTGTTTCTGCTTCTAGAAAATCTGAAACCATTGTTGCCTTCTTGTGTTCAGAATCAGCTGCACTTGCTAGTTCCTTGCAGGAAGTTTGACCTTAGCTACGATCTAAACTGTCATAGCCTGTGTGCAGATTTTCAAGAGGATATCATGTTCCACTTYTCTTTGGGATGGACTTCTCTTGTAAACCGTTTCTTGGGTCCTAAACAAGCTCAGAAAGTACTCCTGGGACTAGCAGATCCAAACCTACATGTGAGTGCTTCAGAGTTTGGGCTGCTGTTGAGTGCCTTGTTTTACCTTGATGAGAATATATTGATTTTTGCCAGTGCTATTTACATGCTTGCTGCTACCTTTCCCTAGACCCATTGTGTGAAATATTTTTGGTGGGGGTTGTTTTTATTGGAGTATATTCAGGGTTAGAATGAAACAAAAAACCTCTCCTTAACTTGCTACAGCTGTTACACAAATTGGGTTTTGTTTGGACTGAGCCCTTTAAGTAGCCTGTTCTGTTTGTAGTATTTGGATCCTTAGAACAGAACTAGCCCTCCGAAGATCCTTACTCTCTGTTGGAGGAATTGTCAGAACCTCTACTGCTCTTCAGGAGCTTTCTCAAAAGATTTCTCTTCTGAAGGGTTTCCTTCAAGTAAATCAAAGCCTGAATATATGAAAATAAAACAAAGCCCACCTGTGTAGCTCCTTAATGCTTCTGACTCAGGCTGCCATGTTCCCATCTTCTAGATCCCTCGCCCTTTAGCCAGCACCCCGTCTACCACCAGCCTTCCCGCCACAACTCCTGAGAAYGTGCCCCAGGATGACTTTATGGTTCCTCTGGTGTTGAATTTAGCCTCGCTGACGTCCCGGACCTCCATGAGCATCATCGTTGTTGGCGGAGTGGCAAGTAGCACTGGCAATATTCTCTGCTGGAAGGGATGGCAGAGGCTGAGCTGCTCTGTCCTGTTTGGGGTGTACCAGGGAATGTCATGGATTGACACTGGGCCAGATGAGCACGTGCAGTGCCCTGGATACCCACAGTGAGAAATTAGTCTGAGGATAGCTGGGCATATTCTCTGTGCCAGAAGATTGTGTTCAGTGCCTGAATTAAAGGRTGATCTGATGGTACCTCCTTCAGTTTGAGTTTAGTGGGAGCTTGCTTCTTCTTTCATGAAAGAGCAGCAAGGCTTCTGCAACYTACACATTCTCTGTGGCATTGAGGACCAGCTCATGAGAATGTAGCTGTAATATAATGRAAATAATTTATTTACGTACACAAATCCAGTGAAAGGGCTGTGGAGATGATTTTTAAAAAATGTGTGGAATTAGATTTTATTCTGAAGGAGAACTTATTTAAGCTAATGRAGATTTTGTTTTTCAGATTTGGAAGACCGTAGGCTGGAAACTGATCTCGTTCTCGCTGAGCATGTACGGGCTGCTGTACCTGTACGAGAGGCTGACCTGGACCACGCGGGCCAAGGAGAGAGCCTTCAAGCAGCAGTTTGTGAACTATGCCACTGAGAAGCTGCAGATGATTGTCAGCCTCACCAGTGCCAACTGCAGCCACCAGGTGCAGCAGTAAGTGTCACATGGGCTGGCCCCTCACTGGTCCTGCAGGATGCAGGAAGGCACCTCTAGTGTTCCTTGGCATTTAGTGGGAGGGGGTTTGAAGAGTTTAAAATGGCACCTGGAAAGGCCAGTCTGCATCTGGGTGTGGCTGTGTGAGTTGCTCTGAAGATGGTGACTCTCTTTGTCTGGTACATCATGGTAGAAACATGAGAAATCATTCTAGTGGAATCCCTGTAAAGGTGAGCAGAACTTCTGCTCCAAGGGCTGCTATGGGCAAGTTCTGAGCCAGCAGTCCTGGCTCTTCTGACTGTAGGAGAYGAACTTGATGGCCTTTCTGAACTATTCTGATCTACACAGGAGAGGCATTCTGCACCCAGGGGGCTAGAGGGTGCACTAGCAGGCCTAATTTTCTGAAGCATAGACTGAGGTGCATTTGGAGTGCTGAGGGTTTCTTTTTCTACTTTAAAAGTACCCAGTTCTGCTTTCTGCTATTCTGTAAATCCTGTAGCAGCTGGAGGCTTTGATTGCTGGGTTCTGCACACTGCAGTGCTGTGAGATTTTATTTCTTACTATTTTTTTAGCATAAACTTCTGTAAATTATAATTATAAACTTCTTTTTGCTTTAGGGAAATGGCCACCACCTTTGCTCGGCTCTGTCAGCAGGTGGATATTACTGAGAGAAACCTGGAAAAAGAAATCGCTAGGCTGTCCAAAGAAATAGATCAGTTGGAGAACATACAGAGCAGCTCCAAACAGCTGAGGTAAGTCTTGGTGTGATCAGCCACAAGCATCTCTTAGCCCTGCTGAGTTCAGATTTATGAGTGCTTGCTGTTAACTCTGGAGTTGAACTAGGTTAGCTCAGATGCAGAAAGGGATGCAAAAATATTCTGAACAGCTCTGTGTTAAATAAAATGTATGCTGCTGCCTCAGTGAATCAGCTAACCTCTAAAAATACTATTTCTGAGATTATCTTTACCCTTGTCACTCTTTGGTGTAAGGGAGAGGCCTTTGGCCAGAATTTTAGTCTCCTGTAGGGTAACTTAAGGGTGGCACCTTCCCAAAGCTCCCTCCCCAGAGCAGGAGAGCAGCTGTGCTGTGTTGAGTCAGTACTGGTGGTGCCAGCAGTAGGTGTTTGCAGAGCAGCAACTTCCAGCAATTGGTGGTTCAGGGACTTGGAAGCAGCCTGAGCTGTAGTTTCCTCTTCTTTCCCCCTGCTCTGGGCTGCTGCCTCCTGCCTCCTCAGGCCTCCACCACCAGTCAGGTGAACATCTGGCCCCACACACCTCTTTAGAAATCTGCATTTAGGTTTTCTTAGTGCTGGGGGTCTCAGTAGAGGAATAGAAATGAAACACTGATGTCAATTCTGCATTGTCATGTTCCGGCACTCAAGTAAATCAATCCCTTGCTTTTGTTTGTTTTACAGAAATMAAGCCATTCACCTTGAGAACGAGCTAGATCGCTTCACAAAACATTTTCTTCAAAAGAGTAAATAAAATGTCATTCTGAACCCTCCCGGTGCTCCTTTGTAGGGCAAAGTAGAAATTTTACAGGTTGGCACTTTGCTATTTGGAGTCACTTGAAATTATTTCTATTTTTAATGTTACTCTGGTGACACTTATTGTTTTAAAACTTGGACTCTGATGGTGAATCAGACTGAAGAGCTGTGGTACTCTTGAGTGTTCTGTTTGTTTTGCAGATTTTGGGTTAAAAATTACCTTTAAACACTAATTTTTTTTTGGCACTTGACAGCAAAACCCCAAATCCTCACTGGTTTTTATGAGTATGTAGCAGTGGCAAGTCTGACTTCCTGGCATCCAGGACCTTAGGCAGGAAAAGAGCTTATCCCAGTTTCCTGCTTTCAGCTGCTTAGGAATTGTCCAGGAATGAAGCGTTTTCCATGTAGGTGTGATTTTGTTTAGTGAAGTACAAACTGGCATGGGAAAGGACTCCTGCCAYGTTTGGAAAGCAGGTGCCAATGTGCTTTAAAGAAAAGGAAAAGGTCCCTTTTCTTTAAGGGCAGTGAAAGCTGAGGGTAAACTGCACTAAGGAAATGCAGTGGGCTCAGGGTCCCTGTGGCCACCTCAGTGAGCCAAGAGGGCAGTGGTTAAGTACAAATGAACCTATTTCTTGCAGGTGCTAAAGCAGGGAAATGGTTCTTTGCCTGTGAGCACATGGACCGTGCTCAGGTGAGCTCAGGTGTGTCAGTGCCTCGCGCTCACAGCCAGGCACAGCAGTGTTTGCCAAGATGGTCTGCACAGGATTGCTGCAGGTTGGGGGTCAGCAGTGACCTGGAGATCCTGCTGCTGGATTCAGGGAGCAGGACATGGTGAAACCCCATCCCTCCCTGACCCCTCCCTTGGTTCTCCTGCAGAACAGGTCTCCTCTAGGTCAGACTCCAGGCAGCTGTGCTGGAGTCCTTCACCTCTGCTCACCTCCAGCAAAGCCTCTTTTAAAAGTTTCTGCTGTTGCTATCTGCAATCATTCAACATCTACTTTTTTCTAACTAGACTTTTTAAAATTATTTTAAAAGAAAAGCCTTTTCAGAGTATTTATATATTTTTATGGCAGTGTTAACATTGACTAAATTAAATATTCAGCTCTTGGATAGGAATTTGCTATTTTCCAGCAATGAAGGGCTGTTGCATCTATTTCCTGAAAGATGTAATGCTAGAGGCGTTAAGGGAGGATAAGGAATCGTTCCTCCAGTGTGTTCAGGTCTTTGTTCTGACTGTGCATGGGGAGTCCTGTGGGTTTGAGGGGAACTGTGGCATCCACGAGTAAGTATGGGCCCCACCTTGGTGTGGGTGAGGGCACAGCTGTGTATCAGTGCTCTGTTTGTGGAGCATTTGTATTGATATTGTATCAAGACAAAACTTTAAATGCATGTGTTCTAAAGTTATTTATTAAAAAAAACTACTATCCCTGTGCTCCAGTAAGTTCTTTGGCAGCTCTGTCCAAGTCCTGCACGTCACTCCCACAGGTAATGGAGATCCAGGACAGGTCCCAGCTGCTGCCGTGTGGCTGCTCCATCCCCATCCCAGGGACCCTGCAGGCCAGGGGCTGCTGACACAACACGGATAGCTGATCCAGGCTGGTGAAAAGCACTTGTTTATTGGTTACAATATCAACTCATGGCAACATCTTTCACTGAGCCACTGTACAAATACAAAGAAAAAGATCCATCATGGAAAAAAAAAAAAAAAGCTATAAACAAAGTTCATAGCAAGTGATTTTTTGTCACAGGGAAGTCTTTTTACAACAGCACTGTTAAAGAACAAATGGCACAAGTCCCTGGTTTTTTAATAGCTTAAATAAAAGCTTTAAGACTGTTTCTGAATACATACACAATCCAAAGGCAGTGCAGAATCACTTCATAATTGGTAACATTACTGAAGTTTTCCAAAGTAGTCAGCAACAAGTGAAAACAAAACAAAAAAAGCTGAYGAGAGATGCTGGGAACTAACGGCAAAATAAAATCAAGCATGTTTAGAAGCATTTTGCTTTGGACTCCTTTGGATGTAATATGTACTACAAGTGTTCAGATGCTTTTATTTAAAAAAAAAAAAGAAAAACACAAAGAGAGCACCATTGTGTAAGTAAAACAAAGGCTTGAAATACCTAAGACTATTCCACCGAAGTCCATATTAGTTAAAACCTAAACATACTGTGTGGTATAAGAATGTCAGGCACATGTAATCTGTTATCAGTTATATCAATTAGTAACACTGTTCACACATTTACCATAACAACACTGCATTAACATTCTGCATGTATTTTACATAACCAGCAATTGGATAAAAGGCTCTGGTGCCTCTGAAGTGTAGGAGGAGTGTGACCAGCATGCATGCCAGAGTACTGGATACACAGTGCACCATCAACCCATGCTAAGTACTTGTACAGGAAATGCTATCTCAAAACCAGCCATTCTGCTACACAACCATCGATACCAACTAGTCCAATTAGCCAATACTCTCACCAACATCTTAAAGCACAGCACTAAACCTAGTGGAGGTGACAGTGTCCCCAAAGGGGACAGACTACAACTCTTGGAATGTTTTCACAATGTTTTCATTCCACCTTAAAGTAATTAGTATGAACTTCATCGTGGGATGAGCAGTTACACAACTGAAGTAAGGAGTCAACTACTTCCAACCCATGGATTACAGTAAGGACACAGCGGGACCTGCTGCTGCACCAGCTCGGCTTCGCCAAGGCAAGGTCAGGCCCTGTCCTGCACAGGGAAAAGCCTCTGATCCGTGTTCCCTTTGGAATGGCACAAATCCTGGCACTACACGGAGCTGTCAGCACTGCCATGGATCTGCAGCTCAGCACAGCAGAGGACAGCAAAGGGCTGCAGACAGATGGAACCAGGCCACAGTACTGAAGTGCACAAGCAAACATCAGCACGGAGCCACAGCAGCTTTTTGTGGTTTCCAGAATCTCAGCCTCTTTCTCCAATAAACAGCAGCCAAGGCTACACTGGGAACGAGCCCAGGCTGGGCACTTGCCTGAASGGACAACTCTCTACTGCAAAGTTAAATCACATTAGAAAATGCTGACAAACTCTACCAGAATAAAATAAATCTTGTTGCACCAAGCACATGGTTCTGCTTCCCAAGCCATAACCAATTGCCTTTACAAGAGAGGCTGGGCAAGAGTTACTCTGCCACCGTTTGGCACAAWGCTCTTGGTTACTCCAGTTCTGTAATGACACAACTTATTTGAAATTCAGCTAAGGATGTAAGCAAACTTTTAAAGCCAGTGAAGATGTGCCCACTAGTGCTGCCAGACCTGCTGCAAGTGAGTTTGCTGTCATGGTGCAGTCAGAAATCTCACAAGCTGCACACCCAGGCCCATGCCAACTGCAGGCAYACAGCAGTTTCTTTGAAATTCAAAGCTGGGTTAACACCTTTAAAGTAAAATCTATCAAAGGTTATTTTATTACCTTCCTTCTTTTAGGAGGAGTCTGAGCTTTTACCATAAAAGCCACCTCCATTTTAGCTGGGGCATCAACCTCGAGACGTCCTTGCCAGCTGTTTGAAGAAGGGAATGCCACAGCCTGAGTCACTCCGTGGCACCACAAAGCACCTGAGATACTGCAATCTGCAGGCTTAGAAAATAACCCATGGCCAGGGCAGTCATGGAACAGCAAACACCACCTGGGCAGGATCTATCACAGGCTTCCTACAAGCTCCAAAGATGCACCAGATGCCATTTCCCCCGCCGTGCTCRGGCTTCTCCCAGGTCTCGTGTGCTGACACAGGAGCCCCTCAGACCTGACCGGGCAGCAGAGGCAGGCAGAGCTCTGTGATGTCGTTGGACACCTCAGCAAGTGTTGGCATTCCTTGGTTAAATTTTAAAAGCAGCTGAATCCAAGAGACAACAGCCATCCAACAATGACAGTGAAGTTATTCGCAGTAATACCTGTACAAGAGCCATTACCACTGTTACAGGCTACCTGAACTGGTAAGAAAAGTTATATACAGCTGTAAAATTGGTTTTGGAGTTTCACAAGTAGAAACCAGTTTTAATACCAGAATGTAAAAATGGCACCTGTCTYGGCAAAGGTGTTGACTAGGAAATTGGTTCAAAACACACTTCTATGGAAAAATTTTTTTTAGAAAAAGAATATTTTTTTTAAAATTCCTTAGTAACAAATTTCCAGAATGATTCACTCAAGGCAGCTGTGAGTTAAAAAAAAAAATAAATGCACCACTAAAAAATAAACYGAGTCTGCAAGATCCCAAAGAGCTGCTCACTTAAGAGAGTTACAAGAATTCCRTAATAGTTCTGTTAATGCAGATCACAAAGCAAAAAGCTGAGGAATTCCTGTGAGACACAATACAGTGGGATTTTGGTCCTACACCACAGGCTGCTGTTAGGAAATGTTCCTTCTCCAGTATAAGAAGCGCCTTTTTCTTATTTTAAAAGTGAATTTACCGTGATTGATTGGTACATTTATTGGCACCTTCACCACTATAGACATGGCAAGTTTACAGGCACAGTCTGGAAGTACTGAAATTTAGGATTAAAAAATGTCACAAAGTTGACAAATAGTCATCTCAGCCAGAAATCCATTTGGATATTTCAGGATTCTGGGCCTTTCTCTTAACTGCCTGACCCAGAGACACCCAGATTCCTCATCAGTTCCAATGAATGATGACTAACATCATCTTCCAATCTGATGATTTAAAATTCCCATCTTTAAAATAAGTCACTTAAGAGAAGCCAATAGAYCTTATCCCCTGTTCCAAAATAGCCACAGACGTTCAGATTCCCAAGGGAACATCCACTRTGAGTGCAGACATGCTGCCAGGCACCAAAAAGTTAAGCAACCTCCCTGGGCAGTTTCAAAAGGGCATCAGTCACTTGATTTTCCCATCTCYGCACTGAACTTGGTCAGATTTATAAGCCACTAACATTAAAATCAGAATGGAATCAGGGAAGGAGCAGAAATGGCTATTTAAAGTGTCAGAGCTGCAGAGCTACTGGCATTTAGAAACCCCTTTGGCACAGCCCTTGGTGACCACAGCAGAACAAGCACACCCTTAAGGTTATCCTGGGCAGTTTTCAGGGGTCACACAGGTGCAGTTAAGTTACACAATTCCTTTGGTAATTCACACTGCACAGAACTAACAACACGCACTTTTGGCTGTGATGTGCTTTGGCAGCCCCTGAATTTGGAGGGGAATTACAAGCAATTAACTGCACAGTTAAATCCTCTTTAGGAATTTAAGCAAAGTCCTCCTGAATTTCTCAGCTGGTGTGGAATGAGTTCTGCAGAGACAGAACTGTGAGCACAGATCAGCTGGAGCCTGGGATGGGCCAAACCCACCTGTTTGGCCAGAGCTGAGCTTTCCAAAGGGAAAGCACTCAGCCCCTTGGCTTYTGTACCCATGGACTGCGTGGAATAACCAGGGCAAAAACCAGCAGGGAGGAAGCTAAAACTTCTCAAACTGGATTTATTTTCCAATTATTTCTGCTGTTGGTACATGTCTACCTGGCGTTAACTCCGTGGTGTTTGGAGGTCATGACTGCCAATGGATGGACCAGGGACCACTGGCTTGAAGGAAGAACCCCCCTGATCAAAAATAGGCAAGCAGGTCAAGAAGTGAGTGAATAAGGCGGTAGGTATTAACTGGGAGTCTCCAGGGCCTTTAAAAAAAAATTCAAATGCCTTCCATTATAAAAAACACATACATACCATTGGCTTCACTTTATCTACAGTAAATTCACAAAAACATTTAAAACAGCAATCTAGTTCACCCACTACAAAACTCAGAAGTGACATCTCGGGTTAAAAGCAAAGCTATAAATGTAGTTCCTTAAAAAATGCAAACRTATTTCTTTACATACAGACAAATGTTACATGATTGCTGCTATAATGTGTATATTCTGTTATGTACAAAAAAAAAGTACAGGATTAGCAGACTGAGCACAAGCAAAAACCCTTCAAGGACAATCTAACCAAACCACCAAAAACAAAAAGACTGGCTCTTAGTTTGTCGGTCACCATGATTATGTGTGCTGGCCCCTTTTAAAAAGTCAGTGATTTCTTCCCCCCTCCCCTATTTCTTCACTTGATTTGTTTTCTAGTTTACAGAAAGCCTTTTTGTGTAATAATCAGTGAATAGAAAAACTTCACCTGCAAATACAAGGTAGAAATGTTATTTCACAGCTATAGGCTGCAGCATTGATCTCTCCAGGTCTCAAATGGAGAATGTACATGTTTGGCTCCCAGTTAATTCCAGATTCTGAGAAAACTGTCCCAAGACCCTGTAGCTACAGCCATGCCGTCATCAGTGACACCTAAACAGCTGACACGGTTGTCATGGCCAGCAAGGACACCTGGAAAAGAAGAAGCAATGGAAGTTTAGTGTCTGCAGGATGTCAAGGAATTCAGTTGTTACTCAGCTCTCCCAGGTACATCTTAAATTTACTAAAACAGATGCAAGATCTCAATCCTCCTTTTTGTCTTTACCCTGAAGAACCATACAGACTGTAATAGCCTTACCAAAAAACCCAACAASAAGGGATGTAAAAAAATGTACACACAATACTGCCTCCGTGTTTCTCTCTGCCCCTATGACTTCTCATTCCCATCCCAAAGATGTCCTCCTCCCTAATCAGGCTCTCTACCAGTTTTCCCCAATTATCTGCAGTACTGTCCATGATTTCAGCCATCAAGCACTTCCAAAATCACATGTGATGTCTCCTGACAGARCCCTGGGCTGCCTTAAGTTTCCCAAGTTTTGCAAACCCTAGGGATTAGAATTCCCCCATGTATTGTGACAATCAGAAGAGCAGCACTATCCTGCCTCTTCCCTGCTTTGGTTCTGCTTTCCCTCTAYCCCTTCTTGCCCTTGTCTGCTCTCCCAAGGTGCCCCATCCAGGTCTTGCAGAACTGAGGAAAAGGATCTATTTTCAGCAGAACTGATGTTCAGAACTGAACCAGACCCCAGCATTTAAGTTACTGTAAGAAGTGAGAAAGAAACAGCTATAAAATGCTGTAAACATGTTGTGCCCTGGCAAAAGTGACTAATTCAAGGACCAGAAGTTTCCACTTCTCCTCTTTCCCAACAGAAGGGAATGCAAAGCAAAAAGACTCCTGTAACTACAYCTGAATTACTGCCTCTAATGGGTGCAAAAGTCAATGCAAATGTGTAATTTTGCATTACTTAATTCTATACACTTCAGTGAAACACAKTTTCTGTAGCTGCAATTTTGGAGGGCAATCCTCAGCCTCAGGAGCTGGGATCTCCCAGCACACAGAGATCAGATCTGCAAAGCCCAGAACAGGCCTGTTCTCCTGACTCAGTTGCTGAGATGGAGAGAGATGCAGAGTAACTTCTGGAAGACACAACCAAACGCAATGAAAGGAAGCCACTCCAAATGATAACAAATGAAAAGGAATCCAGCAGTGGCAGTGACCTGGCTCTGTGTTCAGCACAGGTTCTGTCCTCACCTGCCCTCTCCCCTTTGAGGGTGTCCCACACGTTGCAGTTGAAGTCGTCGTATCCCGCGAGCAGGAGGCGCCCGCTCTTGGAGAAGGCGACGGAGGTGATGCCACAGATGATGTTGTCRTGGGAATACATCATCAGCTCCTGGTCTGCTCGCAGGTCAAACAGCCGGCACGTGGCATCGTCAGAGCCGGTGGCAAACGCGTGGCCATTGGGGAAAAACTGCAAATTTTAACAGAGAGAGGAGAGTCTGACACTGGAAAAACAYACTGGTCGTGTGTTAGTTTATGAAYRTCAMAGGATTATTGTACCAGGGTGATCAAAGGCAGAATGTTTTGTTTTAATGAAATATCTGCATGTTAAAAAGTGCATGTACACAGCTGTGCAAGGGAACACCTCTGGGGCAGTACTGGGGACACCTGAGTGGCTGGAATTGTACCCAAGCAGGTCCTGTGTGAGCTGTAACAGGAGTCACAGRGGATGCCACTGACTCCCACAAAACAGAGCAAACCCCAGCTCTGCACATCCTGCCTGAAGTGGAACACAATGTTCCATCCTGAGCTGGTCAGCCAGGTGGCTCAGCCAAGACAGAAGCCTGCAAACAAGCAATTCAATTTCCTAAAAAAAATCTACTCCAAATCCAAGTTATTCTCTCAACAGTGATATTGATTGAAATGGGAATGAAGACAGCCCAGCACATCTCAGGGTCCAAGTCTAAGTATAGGAACAGCATTTTTGTACTGGTCATGTGTTTGGTATTTTCTCAGCCTTAACAATTTTTCATGTTTATGAAAAACAGATGCAGCTTCTACTTAGATTTCTTTCCCTATTTACCAGAGCTTGGGTCTTGCAGATCAGAACATAGTGTTACTATGACAGAGACAAAATATAATCCAGTTTCTAAATATTACCRAATTATTCCAGAGAATACTCAACATCAATACTGATTTTAACTGTCTTCCAGATTATTTCATTGGAGGCTCTTTTTGTTCAACAAAAAAACTTTCAGATGASGATGCTTGGCTGTGTTGCACCCTCTCAGTATACTGCATTTGTCTACAAGTTTCAGTTTTTAACACATTGCCACTTTTCAACAAGTTTCCCTAGTCCATTCTTTACTTCTTTAAAAAAGTGATGTCTCAGTTACTGAACAAAAACACAAGTGAAACTATTCCAGGAACAGCTGAGTGCATCACAGAAAATGGCAATAATATTTCAGTYACAAAGTAGATTGTAAGCTATTATACAGCCTTCTCCGTTGAGAACATATGCAATTGAACATTCTCTACCCCAACTAATTGATTTTAAATTGAGGTAGCTCAGTAGACTCCAAGTTAAATTCATGCAAATGTAGCCTTTATCCTCCCCCTTTCTTCCCACATGGCAACAGAGGATCACTTACACAAACTGCGTTAATGTCTGACACGTGCCCTGTGAAGGACTGCCTGCACATCCCATCGCGGATATCCCAAAGCTTCGAGGAGGCATCGCAGGCGCCCGAGACAAAAGTCCTCATGTCGGGACTTAGAGAGAGGCTCATCACATCTCCAGTGTGCCCAGTGAACGTGGTGGTCTGCTGGCCAGTTTCAATATCCCACAAAGCACTGCAGACAGTGACAGTGTTAACACAGTGTCTGTCATTATTTCACAGTTCAAGT